CCTGGCCGACGAGCGACATGAACCACGCCGTGGTCTCGCCGACGCGTGTGCTGATGGGCGCGTACCTGGGGCTGGGCCGTGTGCGGTCGTTGAGCGACATCGCCAGCGGCCTGTTCGTGTGCACGCTCTTCCTGCAGTTCGAGCAGCTGTCGAAGCGGTTCGTGCCCGAGGCGGTCAACTTTGCGATCAACAGTGTGTTGCATCTGGCCCCGCATGGGTATAAGGATGCAGCGGCACTGCCTGGTTTCTTCGCGGCGCCGGACTTTCGGTCCGATCTGTGCCGACCGCTCGCTATGAACCGTAAGAGAGCCCCACAGGACGTGGGGAAGGCGGAGCTCGTCAAAATCCTCACTGCGGATAAACCCACGGAGGAATCCAAGGCTCAGCTCTTGGTCCTCGCCGTCAACGTTCTTGGGCAATTTGCCGACATGTACAAGGGGCTTGAGGGCTTTATCGAGCTGTACACACCGATCCTGGAGATCCTCACTCACGTCCGGGACACCATCAGTTTCAAAGTACGTGGAGACCCGTTTTAAAGATCACAACCAACTGACGTACATTACAGACGCAACTAACTACAACGACAGACATAATCACGAGGCTGCTCAAGTTCGCGCGGGAATCGCGGCAGCCGCTGCTGCTGCAGGCGCACAAGCCCATCCCCATCCCGACCTACGTGCCCAAGTTCGAAGCGACGAAGTCCAACTACCTGCGGCGGCAGGACCCGGACCACGAGAAGAACGAGGCCGCGAAGCTGCGGAACCAATACAAGCAGGAGCGCAAGGGCGCGATCCGCGAGCTGCGCAAGGACGCGCGGTTCCTGGCGGGTGTCGAGCAGGCGAAGCAGCAGGAGAAGGATAGGGCGTACAACGACAGTCTGCGGAAGGTGTATGGGTCGATACAGACTGAGCGGGCGGAGGAGAAGGCCATGGACAGGGAAAAGGCGAAGGACAAAAAGCGGGCGGGGAGGAAGTAGACATGTGATAGCTCGCCTGCATCTCAGCGAAGGAACGGTCGATCGCGCGAAAAGGTCAAAGATTACATTAAGATGATAGCAAGCTAGAGGGAAAACGCAGGAAAGCTATGGACCTGTCTCATTTTATGGCTATCTTTGCAAATGGTCTGTGGTCTGCGCAAGGCTGTCGTTGGGTGTGCAGCACGTCCTGTCACGGATCACATGTAAAACGTGACGTTCTAGCCTGATCACTTGCACTGCCACTACGCTGTCCAGCCCCAACTGAGCGCCCACGGTTGCGCAACCGTATCGACTGATAGTCACATTCCAGTGGCAGCTGGCAGATTCCACCACAGCTGCCACACACGTGCTTCTCTTGGATGACTTGCTGTATGGATCCTGGGTTGTGGTCAGGTGTGCGGATAGGCGGAGATGCAGTGTAATGGAGCTCGCCCCATTCCATCCATAAGCCACCAGTGTCCAAGCACGCACAGGCCGCCACTGTCTCGTAGCCTATGGGGAGGCATTGCACCCGTCCAGGATGCAGTCCCGGTGGATCACCTGGATGACGGACATCCGTGAAGACTGATGAGGTCTCGTGCCACTTGCGGACCCAGATTCTGCAGCGTTCGCGTTCTTCAGCGCATGCCACATGAGCATTCTGGCTTCTTAAGGCTCCGAATTACGCATCCGGCTCCGACTTGCATCCGCGCCGCGGCTCCGCGCTGCGCCCTGTTGACCGTGGTGCGCTGCGCATGCCCAGGCGGCGGGCGATAGCTCGCTTCTGCGTCTCCTCCGGCGCCTCGTCATGCCGTGCTGGACTCGGGAAGGCGGGGGACGAGTTCCTCGTCATGTCTTCTACCTCAGCGGTCCGTTGTGCTCCGACTTGGTGGTGCTTCGATGGCCTTCAGTACTCAGGTGCCCCACCGATCAGGCTTCTCCATCATAAGGACGCAGCGTCATCTATAAAATGGGACTTCGTCCTGCGCTGCTCCTCCAAGAAACGCAACCATGCTTAGCGTCCTGACCGGTGCGCTGTTGCTTACCCTGGGCTCTGCTCAGACCCGTGAGTCCCGGTGCCCGTTCTAACGCCCTTCTGCCGCTGACCGTATCGACAGTTGCCCCGAAGAAATACCTCCCCATCCCGCTGGGTGGGATTCGGGCGAGCGGATGGCTCCAAGACCAGCTGATGGTCCAGACCAACGGGCTGGCGGGCCACGAGCACGAGTTCTACAACTAGTACGCCCTGTGTTCTCCGCGGCCGCTCAGGCGTCTGACGTCATGCAGTGTTGCGCAAACCGACTGGATGGGCGGAAACTCGTTCTACTCCAATCTGGAAGAAGGCGAGCATGGCTTTTCCTGACGAGGACGAGTATCTGATCGCTGGATAGCGGGCAGCTACTGGTTCAACGCGATGGTCCCCAACGGCTTTCTGGCCAACAACTCCGCGATCAATGCCAGAGTGTCTCAGTTCCTCACGTACGTCCTCGACCACCAGGACTCGACCGGCTGGCTGGGTCCTGAGGTCAACACGACCAAACCGCGCTACCTCTGGGGCAGGTGAGATTCCCCGCATTGCCTCCTGGTGTTCGTAGGCTGACTCGGCCCGCCAGATACCCCTTCTTCTTCGGCGCTATGCAGATGACGGAGATCCACCCTGAGGTCACCACCCAGGTCGTCGATGCGATGTACAAGTTTGTGACGCTCGCCAACTCGATGCTGCACAGCAAGAACACGGGAGTGGAGGCCTGGACCGCGACTCGCTGGTGCGCCGCGTCTTATCTTGTCTCTCCGACCCTCATCTGATCTGATCTCGTGCACAGGGAGGATTTCGTGATGGCCCTGCAGTGGTGCGGATCGGTGCCCTTTGAGCCGAGGGGTCGTGTCGGATGGCTGACGCTTCTCTCAGGCTGTTCGACAACCACCCCAAAGATGCGACCAGCCAGGCACTGCTGATCGACACGATGAAGCAGCTCAAGTACACGGGAGTGCCGTGGGAGAAGGTGTTCCTGCCCCAGGTAAGCTGCCGCCGCTGGGTGATGTCGCGGTGCTTGACTATTTCTGCAGTACTTCCCCACCGGAGCCGGTGAGTAGTAAGCGGAAAGTATTCTGGATGCATGGTCTCAACTTCATATTAGTCGAGAACACGCCCAACCCCTTCAATCTGCCGCTCACGGTGCGTGTCTCCTCCACTCCGAGTCTACTCGGCTGATCCTTGATGTAGTGGCACGGTGTCAACTTGGCCGAAGGACTGAAGGCTCTCCCGGCGACGTATCGGTTCACGCAGAACCAGTCTGGTCCGTGCTGCATCTCATCATTGGACGGGAATTTTACAAATCTTACGCAGATCTCAACGTCGCGAGCCAGGGTTGGGATCTACTTTTCCAATACCACGGTCGCCCATCTGGTATCTATGCTGCCGACGAGTATCTCGCGGGTCTGGAGGCTATCCGGGGGTGAGTCTGGTGTTTTAATTGGCAACATCCCGTTCTGAGGGGCTCTAGCACGGAGCTTTGCCTTGTTGTCGAGACCATGTTCTCCGGTTCCTTCATGTATCAGGTCATGGGCGATCCCAAGTTCCCCGATCGGGTCGAGAGAATCGCGTACAACGCGCTCCCTGCCACGCTTACTGGCGGTGAGTGTCGTTGTTTCGATTATTGTAATCATCCGCTGAACGAGATACTTGCACAGATATGTGGAACCGTCAATATCTGCAACAACAGAACCAGATCTTTGCCGGAAACATGGGCAACAACCCTTTCCCTCTGGATGGACCGTACTCGAACGTCTTTGGTCTCGAGCCGAACTACCCGTGAGCTGCTGCTGCTTTGTTTCCGATTGCGTTCAAGTCTAATCGAAGTCAGATGCTGCACCGTCAACCACCCTCAGGGCTGGCCCAAGTTCATCACCAAGTATGTTTTTCGCGCCCCGGTTTTCTCATGTTTTCATCGTGTCTCAGCGCATTTGTGACGACTCCGGACAAGAACTCCTTGGTCCACCTGTATCTGGGGCCGTTCACCACTTCCGTCACACTCGGAACTTGTATGTCGCTCTCCTGTTTTTGCGGTCGCATCTGACCAGAGACACAGCCAACACCGTTTCGGTCAATGTTGCGACGTGAGCTCCGGTCGTTGAGATGAAAGATTGAGACTGACAGGGATTCCATTCCAGACTCTATCCATTCTCGGACACCCTGACCACGACGATCAACGCCCACGCCGCGTTCACATACTACGTTCGCATCCCCAGCTGGGTCGTGAACGGCACCATCGCCATCAACGGCGGCAAAGCCACACCCGTTTCGCCCGTCAATGGACTGCAGGCCGTCTCCGCCAAAGCCGGAAAGACTACGTTTGTCCTCAACCTGCCCGCTGCTATCACCATCGGTGCGTTCGCTCACACGGAAAATCTCCCCGATCTAACACCAAATCACAGAATCCAGGCCTCACGGCTCGGTTGCTGTCCACCGTGGTCCGCTCAACTATGCCTTCGACAGTAAGTATCCGAACGAGCACTTCCAGCCGCCATCCAAGCGCTAACACCGCACGCCTAGTCCCCCGCCGCACGACCGTCCTCGCCACGAACGCACAGCAGAGCATGGCGCAGGACTTCGAGTTCGACTCAACCGCCGCGTGGCAGTACGCGATTGACCCGAACAGCCTCAAGTTCGCCTCGAAGCCGCCGTCGTCGGGTGTCCTCCCGTCGCCGGTGTTCGACTCGGGCCTGACGCCGCTCAGCATCACCGCGACCGCGTGCGTGGTCAGTTGGGGCGTCGCGGGTGCGACGTACGCTGCGAGCCCGCCGACGAGCCCGACTTGTGTCGGGAACAAGACGACGATCACGCTGACGCCGTATGGGGTGAGTGGGCTTCGTTGTTCCAGGGTGTTTTGGTGCTAATTGTCTTTTACCTAGTCCACGAAGCTGAGGATCAGCGAGTTCCCTGTGTTTGCCTAGTTCTGTATTGCTTGTTGTGTGTAGTTTTGTGGTATCAGAAGTCAAATCGAATCGAATCGAATCATCTTATCAATACTGTACATCAGATGTGTCTAGTCAACTGAGCCGCGACGTTTCACCAGTCGTGGGTATGTCGAACGTAACTAAACTACTTGCTATACACGAACGTCTTCTATATGTGGGTAATAGATGCTTTTAGGGTATATGGTTTCCGATATGTAGATTAGGGATCCAAAGTCTATCTCTTCGAGCGACTCATCGTCCGGCCATGCCGCTTGTCACTGCCACTCCCCGTGCTGCTGCTGCCGAGCAACCGCTTCCACCAACCGCCGTGATGTTCCTGCACCGGATGCGGCGCGGGCGGATACACGAAAGCCGGCTGCTGTGCTTGTGGCACCACAACGTTGGCGTACTACGATCGATCGATTAGTCAGTCAGTCATGAAATCCCGTCGTACGTCATGCGAAAAACTCACGGCAGCTTGCACCTTGCCCGTCCGCGGGTCTATTATCCACGCCGCCGGCTGCTGCACTTGCTGCATCGGCTGCTGCATCTGCATCTGCGCTTGCGGCTGCGGCTGGAAGTACCCACCCCCGCCCGGCTGCGCGGCGTTCACCTGGTACACCCCGTGCGGGCTCTGCACCTGCACGACGTACCCGCCGCCGCCGCCGGATGTATGCGTCCGGCGGTGGTTGCGCGCGCGCGTGCTGGTATGCCGCGAGGGCGAGTGCGACTGCGCGCGCGCGTGGTGGCCGCGGCGCGACGTGGGGGCCATGACCTGCGAGATGGAGTCGTTCGGGGAGACGAGCGTCATGGTCGCGAGCGTGTTGGCGCGCAGCGGCGAGCGCATGACGGGCTCGTGGTTGTCGTGCGAGTACGAGCGCTGCGGCTGGCGGCGGTCGTGCTTCGGGTGCGACTTGGACGACGAGCGGGACGAGGACGAGTGGCGCGACGTCGATGGCGAGCGGTGCCTGTCCCGGCTGGAGGTGTGGTAGGAGTCTTGCACGTCTGAGCGGGGAACGAACGGCGATTTGTACTTGTGCGAGTTCGCAGCGGTATCCGTAGCCCAGTTAGAGATACGCTGCTGCGTGCGTTGGTATTGTTGCGCCGCCTGTGGAGAATAATCGTATTCCGACATCGCGGGCGCGGGTGTCTGTCTATGCAGTAATCTAGTGTGGTAGAACAAGAGGGGTGGGACTAGCAATCAACGTAAGCACGAGAAGCCCTGGAAGCGTGGAAACGGTGCTGGCAGCTGGGTCGAGCTTTTTATACGGCACGCCCACAAATGAAGCCAGAAGCGTGTTTGCGGGGCCGTGGTATGCCGAGGATACTCACGAGCTGTGTTGACACGCCTGTTGCCCTGCGTCAGGTCAGATCGCCCAGGGATAGCACCAGTGCTAGATCCGTGCGGCGTGGGATCAGACGAGGAAGATGAGCGTCGGGAACAAGTGTGTGGCCCGACGCCTCGGTTGCCAGATGGTGGTGGGGTAACCCATTTGGGGACAAGGGAGCTGATTGTTCCCTCGGCTATCACCGAGCTCTGCCCAGCCCCTTGCACGTGCTCCGCCACTCAACCAAGGGATGAATTTCTATCAGCTGGAAGTAAATCTCCTTCCGCATAGCCCCTCCTCTCTCTTGCCCTGACGGAGGTGAGTTGTCTCTGAAAATTCTGTATGTCGACCTGGAGATCTCGATCGAGATCCGCCCGAGACATCTGCCAGGGATTGACTCGATAGCGAGACGCCCTGCTCCGAGTTCACGGCGTTCTATGACATGCGCACCATGCATAAGTAAACCACACTGCATCTAAAGACACAGAATTTGATGTCTGCTCTCCGTTAGACTTCGGTTCCTCCACCCTCATGCGTCATCTCGCCACACTCGCCTCACCGCTGACCGAATTTTAGACTTTTCGAAAGCGGTGACGCAAACCCCGCGAGAGTTAGACTGCTGGGACCTAGATTTACATAATCAGCGCTTTCCTACTAGGTTGCCAATCTGGATTTGTCTGACACCAAGTCCGGTAGGGAGGGGCAATTGCACTGAAGATTTCCATATCTTCATCGCTGGAGGCAATACAATCCTGTATCTAGAGGCGGCTCGATCAACTGAGCCGTAGTCATGTCGATGCTACCTTGGTCACTGGATTGAAGCGATCAGTGTTGAAGAATCTACAGATTGTCATTGATGGGCAGGTGTATCATCCCATCACGTGATCGCGTTTGAGGTTTGGCATCACATCGCATTTCCTGGCGGTTGGGCGCACAATCGAATGCTTGCTGATCAACTTGCAGCGCTGTCTGACTCCTGAATTGACGTAGATATCTGACGGAGCAAAGAACCACTCGGAAGCAGGACCGACCATGTCGGCCTTCAAGCTTAAAAGTCGGTAATGTCGGTGAGATAGCCCAGACCGTGAAGGAGCTCTTCGGCATTTCTTGTCCTCCTGACTCCGAAAAAAAACAGCGAGAAAATGATTACACAAGTGCTGTGCTTCGCTGCGGATGACCAGGCTCAGACGGCTGGTGCTGCTGTGGAAGCGGAAAGCTGACCGAAGTCCCATGACATAATTAGCAGTCAGGCGCGTCACAAGCAGAGGGTAACGTCACTCGGTAACGCCAGTTCTTGGCGTCGCTTTTGCCATGGACAACGAGCTGCCCTCCAATTCGACGTCGACCTACTTCGGGGACTCCCCAGACGTGGACACACGGTCGTGTCGTCTGCTCGGGCCCATAGCGCTGGTACGATTCTACGCCATCCCCCCCTGGCGCAGTGCTCACATCACCGCGCAGATTGTGCAGGGTCTGCTCGGGATCCTCGTCATTCTGTCCCTTGTGCTGAAGAGGCAGCGGGAGAAGCCTATGCGCCCGTGGAGGATATGGTGCGCACATCCCCTGTGGTCTTAGTCTGCCCACACGTAACCGACCGAGCAACGCGCAGGCTTTTCGACGTCTCGAAACAAGTTATCGGGCAGATGTTCGTGCACGGCGTGAACGTGCTGATTTCCGACCTCGTCTCGCACCACACCTCAAATAACGCCTGTGTCTCCTACTTTCTCAATATCTTAATTGACACCACTCTCGGTATGTGGAGTCGCCCTGTCGAGACATATATAGACAGCCCACTTATGCCCGAGCAGGTGTCGGGCTACTATATGTCATCCTGCAAGTTTATACATTCATCATGACGGAAAAACTGCAAATGCAAGGCTTCCAGTCCGGCGTTTATGGGAACCCGCCGTCGTTCAAGTTTTGGCTCCGGCAAGCGACGCTGTACGTTTCAGCCCTGACGACCATGAAGTTCCTCGTGATCGGGCTGTTGGCGCTGTTCCCGGGACTGTTCACGCTGGGTGCGTGGCTGCTGAGCTGGACGTGGAAGGCAGATGGCGATGCCTTGCAAGTCATATTGTGCGTGCCACAGCGACTCGTATTCGCATGCTTAGTTTCGCTGACCGCGACTTCCGTAGCACGATGGGAATTTTCCCGATTTTGATGAACATAATACAATTCTGGCTCATTGACTCTATAGTCAAAGCCTCAGGGGTCGCATTGGATCTCGACACCCCAGACCCACTCGACCGTGAGCCGTTGTTCGGGGCCCCGGACGACGATGATGACAGAGACGGCACCCCCAACTCATACACGCATCGGGACACCGAGAGCCATCCGCACCACCACGACGTCTCATCGCCGTCCAGCAGCGTCTCCGATTCCTCCGAAACGTTGGGCACGCCAGCAGAGACCAAGTCCGCCGCTCCCGGCGACGACCACGCATATCCACCCTCGTCGTCATCGTCGCCCTCCTCGTCGTACAGCTCCCAGCCTCCGTTGCGCGAAGCCAAGAAGCTGGGCAAGCCCAAGCGCCGGCCGCCGCCCCCGATCCACATCCAGAACATGAATCGCCCCGCAGTCAACTCGCCGTGGCAGACACCGAAACCGGCCCCGTCGCCGGCGCCAGCGCCAGCGCCGGTGCCCGCTGTGGTGCCCGCAGCCCAGGACAACTCGTGGAGCGACTCCTGGGCTGAGGAGGATGACTGGGCTGACAAAGTCGGGGAGGAGGAGTGGACCGGCAAGAGGATGGAGGAAAGGAAGGGTGCGCTGTCTGCGTGGGGCTCAAGTAGTCCGCTGGTTAATACGATACGTGTTGCATAACGAGCATGTGTGTACTTAATGGAAGATTTTATATCATAGACATGGACACTAACCATCACGTCCCCGATCATGATCATATCGCGCTGACTGCATCTGTCTGTCGAATCGCATACATATGTAGAACGTACACGCTACATGGCTCGCTTCGCATCGAAAAGTCCCCCACATCTACATTCACACTACATACACCACTATGCTACGCAATTACAGATCTAGTTCCATCAAAGCAGTCAAGAACCTCTCCGCCACGTTGTCCGGCTCCTGCCGCGCCATCTCAATGAGACTGAGCAGCTTCTTGATGCCAATCTGCAGCCGCGACGTGGGGTCATTCGCCCTCTGGTCGAATCCGGCGTCGCGCAGCATGTGGATCAGGTCGCGGTACTGCGCGTCCGAGTCGAACAACTCGACCTCCCGCATCACGTGCTCGACGGCGGCGAGAGACGTGATCGGCGGGACACGCATCGTCACATCAAAGTCGACGAAGCCCAGGTCGGTGAGGATCGCGCGGTTGGAGGTCGTGGCGATCACCAGCAGTCGGCGGTTCTTCGGCGGTCGCCGGCCAACCAGGACCATCAGCGCCTGGAGAAGTGAGTTAGAGAAACGCGCGCCCATCGGTGACCATTCTGAAGAAAGAAGAAAGTGTGAGCAGGAAGATCAGACATAGGATAAGAGAATAGTACCGATAAGTCGCTCGATGTTGTCGATGACAACGACACTGAAGGGACTCTTGTTGCTGTCAGCAAAGACTTTGGCCATGGCGGAGATCTTCTGCGCCTCGCCCATTCCGACCATGTTGTCTGGCGTGATGAGCTTGATGAACGGGAACCCGGACTCTTGCGCAATGGCAGCCGCCAGCGCGGTCTTGCCAGCACCAGGAGGACCGTGGACAAGCATGCTGACCATCGGAGCACGCGTCGACGTGCGAACCTGCTCCACCAGCAACGCACCAGAGCGCAACAGCTCGGCCACGTTCCCATCGAACTGGATGATCCCGTTCTGGATGACCGACTGCAGTTCTTCTTCAGACACACCGAACGCCGGGTGTACCTCATCCAGTGCCCGCATAAAGTCGCTTCGATTGACCATCATGCTCTCAACGTCGTCGCTGATTCCCGCCATCGTGCCCACTTTCACGTGCCGGTTGAATGCAAAACTGGTCGCGCTCTTCACGAGGCCGTTGATCTCGGCACCGGAAAAGTTCTTGGTCATGGACGCCAGCTCGGGCAAATCCACATCGTCGTCCATCACTCTGTTTGTCCTCATTTTCGCCGTGTGGATAGTGAGAATCTGCAGACGGCCGTGCTCGTCGGGAAGCGAGATTTCCATGTGCACCTCGAGACGGCCGGGACGCAACAAGGCCTCATCAATCATGTCCTTTCGGTTTGTCATACCGATGATCAGAATATTGTTCAGTGCGTCGACACCATCCATCTGGTATGCGTCAGCGCCGGACCATATAAGCAAGCGGTTATCACAAACCTTGGACAAAAGTTGGTTGACCACGGTGTCGCCCACACCAGTGCCGTTGTTAGTAGACCCACGCTGCTTGAAGATGGCATCCAGCTCATCGAAAATGATGATGTGCAGCTCGCTCTCGTCACCCTTCGCTTTGTACTGGGATGGGATATTCAGTTCCTATCCAAAAAACGAGCAAAATATCCACACCTCCTTCTCAGCATCCTCAAAGAGCTTTCGGATGTTCTCTTCGGAAGCACCAACGAACTTGCTCAGAATCTCAGGGCCATTGACGATTTTGGGTTCCCGAGCATTGAGCATCTTCCCAATTTGCCGTGCAATCAATGTCTTTCCCGTGCCTGGGGGACCGTACAGCAGCAGACCCTTGACGTGGGTGATACCGAGCTTCTCCACAAGCCCTGGCGGGAAAACACGCGAGGCGAACGCGCGACGGAAGATCTCGTTGAACTCCGTGTCCAATCCACCGATACCCATGTCCTCGAACTTGAAGTTCGGCGCCAGGATCGCATTCGGGGGCGCCTTCTTCCCGCTCGCCTTGATGTTGAGCCCATTCGCCTCGGCCGATTTCATGACCGTCACGTCCGTCTTTTCCATCAGGATGCCGTACGTGCGCGGATCGGGACCCATGTCCGCGCGCCGGCCTCCGCGCTGCTGCTGCGGCTCCGCGAGCTCGAGGACAGACAGCCCCTTGACCATGACCCGGATCGTCTGCCCGTGGAAGTCGAAGATGAGCCATTCGCCGGTCGCGATGACGATGCCGCTGTACGCCTTGATGAAGTTGCGCGCGAGGTCGTCCGCGGAGAACTGCTGGCTCGTGTCCGTCTTGCGGAAGTACGCCATCTCGAGGTCCAGCGACTGCAGGTAGTCGGGCTGTGGGCAGGGGTCGAGCGATACCTTGTCGCCCTGCACCGCGAGTCCGATCCATTGGCGGTGCATCGCAGACACGCCGACGCTCCCTGATCGCAGCTTCCCTGTGTCGTCATGGCTGGGGGGATGGGTCGTCAGACGCGATGGGACGGGATCCGCAATGCTCACATCGTCGTCACCGGGAACTGTCCGTTGCACAGGAGATGCTCGCCCGCCTGGAAGTCCGACGGATGCACTATCAGTCGATTCGTCAGTGCGAGGCCGTTTGATGTGGACCCTTCGACCCCGAAGCTGCAGTACGGTTAGATGGACACGACACGAGGCAAGCGCCCGTACCTGCCTCCTCCTCCGGACGATGGCGGTAGCGGCCTACCGTATCCGCGCTTTTCGAACGAGCCGTTCGGGGGATCGTTATACCCCGAGGGCGGTGCGCGATTTTGCATCGATTGCGGTGATGCTCCTCGCGAATCGTACTGTGATGAAGGTGGGACCCGGCGGGGACCGTTCGGTAACGAGTTGTAGTTCCCTGGGCCTGGTGGCGGGGGGTTGGAGCCTCCTCGGAAGAAAGACATCTTGTAGCGCAGATAGGGCGGTTCTTGGTTAATGGGTTGATTTACGTCGCGACGTGTAAACTGCGCGCGTCGTGGATAGTGCGTGGAGGGTCGTGGTATGAGCTATGCAATGATGCAGTGTCGTCGGTCGGCATCACCAATTCGGCGATTTCCGGTGAGCGATCAGATGGTCACAATGTGCGGGACTTCAAAGTTGAGATCGAGATTTGCACCTTGCACGTCGATGGATCGCACACCCGACTACTTGAACTGAAGATCTTGTTTCTTAACGCGAGCTACCCTCATCTTTTCTGGATTGGCTCAAGCCGTACTCATCCCCAATGCAGTTGTCCATTTGTGCATGTGAGTATTACTGCAAAATGAGAGAGACATCCAAATCACCGCTGCAACAAATATACACTGTTGAAGATTCCCGCCCATGTTAATTTGACAGCCAGCGGCTAGTTGGTCTTTCACGTGTGAGAGTGACTTGCAATTGTATTCGAGTCAACATGCCGGCAATCTCCGACCATGCTGACCTTCCACGACCTCAATGAAGATGTTGTTCTGCGCGTCCTATCGTTCTGCGACGTCTACACTGTCTTGACATTCTCAACGGTACATACACTACTTGACCTCTCAAAATACCCCGTCTAGCTGCTGACCACAAGGATTGAAAGCTCAATCGTCACAGCCACAGCTTGACACAGTCGACTACGCTATGGCTCGCGCTCGCTGCGAATCTCGGCGCGTATTTCTCCGATGCCAAGATCGCCGCTCTGCGTCGCCTGCCCAGAAATGGCATCATAGAAGAGCTGAAGAAGCTCGTCTGCGGGCCCGCAGCGATCTCCGGCGACCTCACTCTCACGGAGCACTCGCTACCAGATCCCACCGGAGCAGTCGACGGCTGGACCAAGTGCAAAGTGCTCCCGGGTGGAGAATTCATCATGCTCGACAACATCGACGCGCTGACTTGCGTCTGGCGACAGACCGGCGAAATCGTCTGGCGCAAGGCAACACTTTGTCTCTGGGCGTATGAGATGGACCAGGACTCGGCAGGGGACATCCATCTTGCGGTTCTTACCATTGGCGACGGGGGTGCTAATCCGTAGTATGTGGCGACATTTGTACCATTACGCGGGGATGCTGAACGAAAACTCAGCAGCATGACCGTGGTCCATTTGCAGCGATCCAGTGGCCAGGCTCGAGTGACGTTTTCCTCAGATGTTCCCATGCGCCGGACAGACCCCATTCACGCTGTCGCTATCCATGGCTCGTATGTAGGTGCTTTGTGGGAGGATGGGCCTCTCCGAATCGGCGGTGCTATGATCACCAATTGGGTGACCAAGAAATGGCTTGCTGTCGAACTGGACGCTCCTCGCTCGGTACTTTATCTACTTTTGCTGTGCCATCCCCGATGATTGACTTGTTACAGACTCCGAGCATGCGCATTCTACCTGGTCACTTCATCTTCTTATCGGCTGCCATGAAAGCCAATCAGCAAGGGTCATATGAGGATATACTTCACGTCTACCCCATCTCTCGATTTGATGGACTGTGGAAACCGACGCACCAGGAATGGAAATCTCACCCGCTCAGCTCATTCAGACCTCTCCTTTTCGAACGTCTAATCCATAACGGGGTGTGTTACGGAGACCAAGGCGACATGACGATGCGGATGCATCCAAATCCACTCCGCGACGGAGGCTACAGACTGACGCTCTCTGCATGGGAGAACATGTATCCTCCATCTGAGCATGAGCCACATGAGTGGTTCTGTGCGTCCTTCACCTACCACTTCTCCATCGATCACACAGGATCTCTCTCTCTGACGCACAAATCCGTCAGACCTGCCGACAGCACTTTTCACAAGATGTCAACTTCGTACGCCGGTTTTCTCCTCATGAAGCAGCCAGGCGCACCGCGCCATGCACGGCTTGCCAACAGACATCTTCCGCAAGAGGACGACGTTCAAAGCGTATGGACGCGGTCAATCCCGTTGCCATGTCTCCCAGAAAGTGCTGCGACGGGAGCGATCGTCTTGTCGACATACGGAGCCACCTTGTCCTGGTGTGCACCAGGCCATATCTACATGCCCGAATATGAATAGAATGAATCCAATGCATCTACGTCTTTGCATCCCGCTCTCGCTGCAGCCTCGCCAACTTTCGTTCGACAAACGCAACGTACTGCTCCATGCCTTTATCCATCTCTTTGATCTTCCCACCGCCGACCCGATACGTCTTTCCTGGAGAAATTCCCTTTCCATCCCCATCACCGTCATCAGAAGATTCTGAATCTGACGCATCGTCATCGTCCTCGACCCCGGTGGCTTGCCGTAGCGAGACGCGCTCGACGACGACTCGACTGAACCAGCGATCGTGCGTGATCATAATGATCGCCCCGGTGAACGTTTTCAGCGCTTGCGCCAGCGACTGGATGGTCGCAAAGTCGACATGCGTCGTGACTTCGTCGAGGAGCAATAGCGGCGGAGGATGGAACACGATCAGCGCAAGGGCAAGGCGTACCTGGCAGAGATGATTGGCATGTAGGCACAGAAATACAAGCTGCTACGCACCTTCTGCCCACCGCTCAGCTGTGTCAACGGCGCGTCGCTTGCGATCTTCCCTTGCAGACCGAACGACCCCAGACACTTGCGAGCTTCCTGCTCGGTCACTTTCTCCCCTTTCGCTTCGAAGTGATCGAGGAAGTACGAAAGCGCGGTCACCACTCCATCGGATGGCGCTGATAGCTCTTCAACAGAGTGCTGCGAGAAGTATCCGATCTTCAGCAAAGGGTGTCGTGTGACTGTTCCTTTCGTAGGCTTAAGCGTTCCCATGATCAGCTTCGCTATCGTCGACTTTCCCTGGCCGTTCTGGAGGACGTCTCATCAGCGCCAGTACGTAAACAATTACCGGACTCTCTCACCGCGCCGACAAAAGCACATCGGCCACCTTGACTGACAGTGAAGGTGATGTTTTCCAAGAACGCCTTCTTGGCTTTCGGGAACCGAAACTCCACCGCGTCGAAATGTATCAGGTCGCCCACCGTCCGCAGTTTCTCTGGATTCTCAATGTGGATCCGGACCCGCGGTTCCGTTGCAAGTTGCTCGATCTCGCTGCGATTCGTCAGATGGAATCCAGCCATGTCTCGGTTGAGCTTGAATCGTGTTCCTTTGGCGCTGGTTTCGGCTCCCCATCTTTCGTCCAGTCTACGCTGTGTGAGACAAATTGTTCGCTATTACGTCTCGTTCCACGCACTTTTTCTGCCGTGATTTAGCCATCCGGGCTCTGGAAGAGACTCGATGACGCGAATTTAACAGTTGGTGTGATCACGACAAACCTGTTGTCATCGCCTGTCTTCTTGGCGCTGGATATTCCCTGTTGAATCGTCTTTTCGATCTGCCGACAGGTGAGAAGTTTCAGTGTCATCGTTACGCACGACAAACCTGTTCGCGCTTCTTGTCGAGGGTCTCTTGTGCTGCGGAGAGATGCTTCCTCTTCTTGCGCTCTTCTACTTCAAAGACCGCAGGAGTTCCTTCGAAGTATTCCAGCTTTTGTGTCCGTAGAACGATCGTTTCCTCGACGACGTTATTGAGAAAGTCTTGGTCGTGGGAGATGAGCACGAGAGTGCGCGGCTGTGCATTGAGGAATCCTTCGAGCCAGATGATGGCTTCTAAATCCTAGTGAAGTTATGGCCGCTGGATAATGGATAGAGGATGCATCTCGCTCACCAAAAAGTTGGACGGTTCATCAAGCAGCAATATGTCACTGTGAACCAGGAGGGAGGTCGCTAGAGAGCACCGTGACCTCCAGCCACCCGAAAGGGATGTATATGGCCCGTCGATCATCTCTTGGGAGAATCCTAAGCCATGCAGGATGCTCGCGGCTCGCGCTTCAGTGGACGATGTTTCAAGCTGCAGATCCATATGTATAAGCTACAAATGACGCATACCCAGACACTCACCAGATCCAAAGTGACTTGGACGTCTTGAAGCATCTCGAGTGCCTGGCCCATGATGTCCGGCTCGATTTCGGTGGTCTCCAGCCTGAACGAGACACTTAGCGGCAAATCAGGACACAGGTCGAAGCTTATGTATACATACAACTCTTCAGCCTTCTTCAGATTCTCCTCTGCTTTGATCTCTTCTGCACGCGCGTCTTTGCCGCGAGCGCCAGATCTGCGGCTCGCAACCTTCCGTGCCTCGATCAACTCGCGGCGTCGTTTCTCGAGCCGCAATGTGTAGACAATCCGTTGGGTTTCTTGCAGTGACGTTGATTCGACGGCCTTGGTGAGAGCTATGTGACGATCGGGTAAGCACGAGAGCCAACGGAGGACAGGCCGCAGCGTACCGTCGTGCTCTTCGACCACCGCTTGTCGTTCCTTATCGCCCTTGATGACGTGCTGCAGAACATCGGGTGCGCCGGATTCGGCCGAAGCGTCTGTCGCGCGGGCGCTGTCCTCCACCTGCGACAGCAGCAGGATGCGCGTCCTGGGGTTCAACCCCGGGATGAGCTTGTCCGCAATCGCTGTCAACAGCGTCGTCTTCCCGCTCCCATTCCGTCCGACCAGCCCGTATCGGACCCCGTCCTTAAGACGCAGGTGGCTTTGCGAGATCAGCTCACGTTCGCCGATGGCGATAGTAACACCCTTGAGGTCAATCTCGCGGCTGGTGTCGAGCGTTTCGGCATGGAATCGGGATTGTTGCGAGGTCACGGTGATGGCGCTGGAAGTCTTTGGGGTGGCTTTGGATCTGGGGGCCATGGTAGCGTATGAAAAGGACTGAAGTAGTCAGAGTGTACCATTCGGAGCCGCTGGACGCAGATCTAGCAGCGATTGTCATCCTCATTACGCTCTAGCAGAAAGTCACGGTCACCGTGACAAGTGGTGCCCTCATTAGCGGCAGAACTCGTTACGACGCGTTCATCATGGACAGTGCTGAATTCCACGCTGCGGTCAGTCAGTGTCATGGAAGAATGTATCTAATTGAAGCCTCATTCTCAGGTTTATGACACGGTTCGGCTTATTCCACAACAAAAGGTGACGTCCTACGGTATGCTTCACCTACTCTATATTTCGTTCTCCCCAGCTGCTGAATTGAGGCGCCAACGACCAGGACACATAGCAAAACTCATCGGAATGCCAAACCACTCACGTCACGTTGGTCAAGGTACGTCCTGCCCCTCCCCTACACACCCCACTATCCACCGCGTCAATTGGCTCTACGTACATACAGCACTCAAGTTTCTGACCCCTGGTACGAACCCACCTATCCCATGGCACCGTGTTGTATCCTCTTCGGGCGCGATTTCATCACGTGGGCCCGGGACGAACGGTGCACAGCGCCAGAGCGACGCGCTCGAGGCGGAAGGTGTCGAAGTCACTGTGACAGCGGGCGGTCAGATGAAGGTCGACTTCAGGGAGTGCGGGTGGTTTCCTGAGCCTGGTACAATATGAATTTCAAGGACATTTACTTTCGTTACTAAACATTTGTGACTATTGACACCAACTTTCCGAAGTCGGGACTGCACTTGGGTTCAGTATCTGGTGATAAGAGGTGGACGTGACGATGACTTACGTTCCAAGACCAGTGACTGAAAACTTGTCAGACTCCGTTTTTTAAGGAGATGCATTATCGCCACTCACCGGGATCCCATCCTGTAGTCGCCTTCGGATGAAGTCAGCCAAAAAGACCCAAGACATGAACACTCGACACTTGCATTGAACCCAGGGGTACCGCATCTGAAACCAAGCTCAGCGATCTTGACCAAGACGAACGTATTTGCAGACTCACCCAGGATTGCTGCCGACCGTGATATCGTTCAGACCGGCAACGCCGACGGTATAAAGGAGCGGGTTGAGGAATCCCAAAGGTGGGAGACGCTTTCTGAGCCTTGCATCATTCAACTGCGCAACGAAACCAGCGAATGCGGGGGACGACGCTGAGGTTCCTGAAACTCCAGCTGCGCGTCCGCCAATGAAAACTCGGAAGCGCTCTGATTGTGCGGAGACGTCGGGAATCGCCTTCGGATCGCATCAGAGTCCAGATTCATGTGAGATTATGGATGCAGCTCACACGACCGCTCGCATTGAAGAGACCCTGGTACGTGCCTTTCGGTAGCTTGCTGAGGAACCGAGTGACCGCGGCATCTTGATAGCTGTGAAAGGTCGGCATTGTGGCAGAGATACACGGAAAATCGACGCACGATGGCCGAGAGAAGTAATTGCTGAATCCCCCGCCGCTGAAACTTGCCGCAACTTCTGGGAAATGAGTTGTGCCGCCAACTGCAGTGACGCTGGAAGGAGCCATGAATATGATTGATGGTGTGACACGCCTGGAAACTTACAATGGACATGAGGCTGGGAAACCTGTTGGGAAGGTTAGATGGGCTCAAGTGGAGAGATAGGAGCAAGACCTGGAATGAAACGAGTCTACAGAACAAGCTTAGCTTCGGCAAAGCAGGTGCAACTATCAATTACACACCGTGTTGTGGCCGTCGTTTGTCAGGCAAGTCGTCGTCGCAGGGTCCGGATCCCCGTCGCCGACACCGCCATCGCCGGACGAGAACGTGAGCGTGACACCCCGGGCACCTGCGAATGAATATGCACATCAAAGCAGCTGCTTGTATTTGCTCACCCAATATGGCAAACTCAGAACAAACACGTTTGGCAAAGCTTTCGGGAACTGCAACGAATCAACTGATGGTCAATTGAGCAAAGACACTGACAAACCTGTTTGTTCTTCGTCTCCGTACGACGTGGAGATGGTCAACGGTGGATTCTTCTGCCCAAGGATGAAGTCCAACCACTGTCATATGATCATCAGTGTCGATGTGGCAGAAAAGCAGAACTTTAGATGCCTCAGTGTACGGCTCGTTCGAGTCTGTGGGCGTGCCCACACTCGGGATGAAAGGAGGCCTTCCAGCAGTTGAGTAGAAGGTCGCATTTGCCGGGAAACTCAATCCAAATGCAAACTGCACATCAAGATTTGCTTCACCGCCAGCCTCAGATGCGTTCTGTGAGTCTAAGCCATTGGCGACGGAGATGAAGTTGAATGTGGAGTTCACGGCTGCTGCTGCGGGGACCTGGTTCGCGTAGAACGATTGCAGGTCTACACGATTAGCGAACTCCTCGAGGTACCCGGTCACGGCGATAGAGTTACCGACGGTGGCGGAAGAGGTGTAGTTGACTGCGTTGTATATTTGGCGCAAGCAAGAAATAGTGATGGTCGTGTTACAGCTAGCGTCGACAGCGGGTCCCGGACTGGATTTTTGCTCGGCAAGTTGATTTTCGACGTCGATCGAGTGGATAGTCGACCTCATCTGCTTGAATGAGCTGAACAGCGTGGTGGGCTGCACGAGATCGATGTGCGCATGGAGACTTTCTGGAAGGCTATACTCGGTCGTACGGACAAGGAACTCGCCGCTGGTCGTGTGCTTCCAAACGTGATACTTCTATAACACCATCGTGAGCAGAAGCATTCGCCATTCGAAGTCAACTTGCCGTGCGAAGCATTGACTCAGCCTGTGAAACCGGAACGGCGACCAACAGCCACCCGCCGGTAGCAGACTTGACTATCTGGTCCCGGGGCAATCCGTGGGATTCAAGCCAGCTGGTGACAGCTTCGACGCTTTCTGCAGTAGGCAGAACCAATGCTTCACTCTCCTCTTTCGAGAGATGCGCACCGTAGCGCTCATGGGATGGGTCGCTGACGGCGTACAGGTGCTCCTCCAGGACGTGGAAGTTGGGCTGGGGGAGACCGATGCGCAGATTGATGATATGATTGTCGGGAGCGTGGGAGTGGATGGCCCATCCACGAGGGGGTTCCACTCGTTCTTTGAGTGTGTGCGAAGCGAGGGCGGCCCAAACCACCAGCAGCTGGAAGGAGAGGAAGGCAAGAAACTTCATGGCGGTAGCCATTGCGCTGTCGCCAGAGCTACCGGCCTTTTAACCGTCGACCCCATGTGGAGCCGGACTTCTTTCAGAGAGAATTCTCATGCAGGCTGATGGAGACACTGAGAGACACTGGGGGACGATGTGGTCCCTTGCCTGAAATGGTGTCTGATTCTTTGATTCGGTCATAGTCGAAGCAGGAGTCTTCAAAAAATGTGGGATCTTGCTGGGATACCCTGAGCTGATTCTTAACGACAATGTGGCGCAACACGCGGTGCAGAAGACACCGAGAAGGCAGACGGCCCGTTCGGAGGGTTGCGCAAGAGCGATCGTGAATGAGAAACCGAAAGCGGTGCAGGGGTGGCTGTCCTTGTTGGGCCGAGTAAAGCCGAGTAAATAGGGACAAGCAACTCGTCCTCATCGTCGCTCACAGCCGCAAGCGCCCAGCTTGTTTCGAGCACCCTTGATACCATCCCCTCGCGTCAGGTCCCCAACTTCTACCCCTTGTTCTCACTCGTTTCTTGACATGGGTCGATGGTGCGTCGACTGCCATCACTCAAAAGCCACCTACTCATCCTCGGTGGCAGGACGCACGAATACGAGGATGATACTCTCAGCTACAAGTTCAAACGCCTTGTGTACATTGAATGCCTTGATCAGATTACACGAGAAGTTGACCCATATCATCTATAGCACTGGGGCGATCAAACGCGCCAAAATAGAGAAATCTGAATCTACAACCATAAGGTGTGTCTATCCGACTGTGTGACACTGGTTGCTAATTGAGACCTCAGCTATAAACACTTTGTTCAGGACCTCGATGTCGGTGACTCATTCACGACTACTATCCTGAGTATTCTTGTCGAGGTTGGTCACATCCTTCGTTTCCGGCCTTAACGGCCTTACAATTGTGGCAGGAATTGTCTGAGCGACGGAAACGCATGTCTGTTGACTCGACCGCAACAGAGCGCGGCTACATCACTCAGAGCACTGCGCAAAGACTCCGTCAGCTTGCTCTGTCGAGTCGGTACCATGAACGATCTAGGCCTGCTTCTCGGCCGTTTGGCACCTCATTTCTCTCTGCCCCTCCTGATGTGATGGATATGGAGGATGACGATGAAGATGCTCTCGAAACCGTGCTACAGCATGGATCAGCGGTCCCCGAAGGCGTTCAGATCAATACTGAGCTGTACGAGGCCCTCCCATCTTGGGCCCCCACTGGTGCGACACGACGAATTGTGCCAATTTCAGGCAGCCCGCCGACGCCGACGTTGTTTCACCCGGCCAGTCCAACCGCTACAAGTCCTCCTCCAGCTGTGCCCTCCAGCCCACCGATATGGACCACATTACCGACGACTACGCTTTCACGACAACCATCTCTCCGCCGTCATGGGGTTGGGCATTCACGCACAACGGACTTCCACGCGTTTGCAGCTCAGCGGCGCACGAGTGCGCGTGATGACCGGGGCGCCTCGGAGGAGCCATGGTCAGCCAACCGTGCAACGCGCCGGTTTTTCCCGTTCAGCTCTCAGTCTCGACGCCACGGATCACATTGGGGTGATGGTGGTGGTGGCGAGGGAAGCAGGAACGACGACGATGCACCTCACGACGAGAACTATCCTACACCCTATTCGTCGTTCCCCGAACCGACCACATCGTCATCGTCATCGTCTCAAGAAGACACCTACGATCCTCTTGAAGCGCCTTCACGTCGGTTACGACGTGGCGGTATCCGTCCACCGGAATCGATGTTGTTTCAACGTCCCAGTCCTGCCAGGGACGAAGGGCTGTCTGATAGATCCATCTCTGAGCCCAGAGATTTTTCGTCTCTAGTCGCAGACTTTGTGTCGTACCCCACGCCTGGCTCGCCCAGCACAGGCTAAAAGCAGATTGTATTCTGCATGAGATCTCTGTATTATATGGACAATCTGTTCGGGTGTAGGACTACATGTAGCATGTAAATTCGGTCTGCCTTTTAGTTTCTGAGACTTGATTAGACAAAAATAAAAAGCTATCAGCTATTTTTAAACGGTAGATTCATTCACATTCTAACCTACAAAATTAGTGCAACAACCTCGGTCCCTGACCCCCATTCAGGTCCTGATGGCATCATTAGACCTGAATGCGAGGCCCACACATTTTCGACCTGATCCAAACGGACCGCCATGTCCTCTATGCCAGCTGCCATGGACCGCGCAGTCGCAGTGCCCAAACACAAGCTGCTCGAATCGCCTACCGCACGCGCGATCGAGATCTTCGATTGGACGATCACCGTGTCGACGGGACCGATATCCAATTCCGCCGATTGCGACGCGTTGCATGAAGCGCTGGGCATCCCGCTCCCCGAAATGACGTTCGGCTCGAATGTGCTCGTGCTCGAGCATCAGCCGTCGCAGTGGCGCTACGAGTTCACGACGAAGGCGGCGCTGGCGGGGGTGAAAAACGGGGAGCTGGGTGAGGGCGACGGGGGTGTGAAGGTGGGCCACGCGGAGGCGTGGCTGAAGAGCCGGTGCGTGGTTTCACTCTCATATCTAGCGGGTTGAGACGCGCAGTGCTGATTGGGCACCTACATCCAGGACAGTACCAACCGCAGCAAACCCCATGCCGCGCACGGTGCCCACCAAGCCGTATGACTGGACGTACACGACGACGTACGCGGGAAACTACGGTACCACGCCTGCACATGAATGGCTCAGTGACTCCGCGGTCTCGGAAGCGGGATCGTTGCCCTCGACGCCCGTCGCTGAAGAGCCGGGCTCGTCCAGGACCTGGGAATGGCAGCCTGCGGATCCGGAGATCGGTGCTCACGCGATCCCACTAGCTGAGCTGACGCGTCCGGATCCAATATTGTTCTATGCGGAGATACCGCTGTACGAGGACGAGCTGCATGATAACGGGGCGTCGCATCTGCTGGTTCGGATTGTGAGTGTGTTGCTCCGGCCGAGTGTGAATGAGAAGAGCTGAATCTGGTAGCGTGTCATGCCGAGCTGTATTTTTATCCTGGCGCGCTTCACGCTCAGGGTTGACGGCGTACTGTTTCGAACACACGATACGCGCATATATCATTCCTTTTCCAGCCAGCCCCCGCTTGTTGTTCGCGAGACTGGCGGGTGGGAAGCGCCATATGACCGTGTCAAGGCGGTGTGTTTCATATTGTCCTTCTTCCCTGCGTTCTCTAAATGTGCAGAAGGCTGTGCCTCGTCGTGACGATCTCTCACCACTCACTGATGCCAACTTCGTTGCTAAGATTCTCACTTCCATGCCCAGAGAGGTTTCTCAGCGAACGGGCGCCAACACTGGATGGCGGGGTCTTGGAAGCAAGGTCGAGGTCATCCATCTATAATCTAAAAGCAAACTGTACTTGTATTCTGAGCTCTGATGTATTTATGTCAATGACAGTTTCCATATCGGGATGTCAGGCGTTTAGTTGGCTTGACAGAACATCACTCGCGCACCTCTTTCTTGACGTTCACCATCTCCGTGCCCATCTTTCCATCTCGGCATCCGGACGACTAACCGAGGACCGAAATTCCATGCCTTCCGTGCCGTGCGCCACTGGTGTGGATAGATGCAGTGTCTTGTCAACAGAACGAATATAACCTTGTATCACGGATCCACGGAGCAGAGTTTCTATCGAAACAATCAAGGCTAGATCTGGAACATATTGAATGGGAAAGGATATAAATAGGCCAGTGGATGTGATAGCTTCGCCGTCTACTCTCCTTCCTTCTCCTCTTCATGGCTAGCAACTACTACCTGCCACCCGGATATCCTCGTGAGTGCATTGAAGTTGCTAATCTTTGCGACTTCACAGGAATGTCAGATCCTCAGCAGAATAACGCGTCACTGTCGTATCACATCCCGATGTCTCAAGGACACGGCACCCCTCAGAGCTACGGCATGTCAAGCTACAACACCACTGCCCCGCCTCCTGACTTCAGCACCAACCACCACGCATCATCGGAGCTACCGCCTCCGCCGCATATGTACCCCTCTCTTCCTCTCCAACAGCACCAGGAACATAGACCCCGTCCGCCATCCAGTACCTCGTCGCACCCCGGCGGCAGCCCGGGCTTCGTCCCGTTCACATTCTCCGGCGTGAAGAGGCATATCCGCGACAGCCGCGTGACCGACGCATGGGGCCAGACGGTAATGACAGTCGCGAGCACGAAGAAGGAGAGCACGTTCCACAATATGCGCGGCGAGCTGCTGGCCATCTTCGAGTGGAACCACCATCTGCCGCGCATCCTGTATCGCGGGACGGAGATCAAGTCAAAGGACTTTTTGCCGCTGGATCGTAAAGCTTTGTGCGTAAAGAGAGAGAGAATCTCTTGGGGCGACTGGGTCGGTACTCACTGCGGCTTCCAGGACACGCACTTTCGCGCATCAGGGCCACCACTATGTGTGGAAAGGGACTCCGGACGAATCGGCCGTGGAGGTGTGTTTCGCACGGGATGACTATGACCAACCGCATCTCAATCATCTCAGCTCTACAACGCCGATCGCCCGGATCATCGCATTGGCTACTGGCACAACGAGGACGAGGTCATCATCCTCGAAGCCACGCCCGAGTTGTATCAGACCCCCGGCCTGCTCGATTTTTCTCTACTCTCCGTTTTCCTCATGAATTGCGGCGCCCAGATCGAGGAGCACGGTGGCGGCGGTCCGAGCATGGTACTCATCGGCGCGTTATCTGCTCTGATAAACGCTGCTTGAGGACTTATATCGACGGACTGGATGTAGAAACCCAGATATAATTGCGATGTCCGTGAATGCCTCGTTTACAAGATTTATGATCCAATTTCGTGGAAATCGAGCACGAATATCTCTTGGACTGGAAAAGAGACTGTCTTTAGAGTCTTTCCTCCATTGAAGCCTTGAGTGGACTCCATAGGAACCAGGACTGGGAAACTATGCATGCGTCACTTCATCTTTTGCATCATTCCTGCACTGGGGCGAAGTCGAGAGGAAAACGTTGTTTAGGCACCCTAATATCTGATATCTTTTACCTTAGAGCAAGCTACGACTCATTCATCTCAGAAGCTGTAGTTCCACCATCTCACTGAAAAAATCATCGAGAAAAAAACTTGCTGTCTGAAAGCAGAAGGGGGTGCAGACGGCGAACTCTTGATCGGAGACATCTCGGACCCCGAAAAAAAGATGCCAGAGTCGAGATCAAGAAGCAAATGACAGACCGTCACCATTGTTGATTGTCATCCATCATCGATCACGCGTTTCTCACGTGCCACTTCAACGATGGACTACCGATTGGGAAGGTTCGAGAGTCGCAGGTTTTTGCAGCGCCACTTTTCTTCGAAAATCTGATTGAGTTACCAGATGATTGCATAGACTTTGATGCTGAAATCTGAGTCAGTGTGTGACTTGCTACGGCACGATTATCACTGCAGGGGGACTTAATTTTTTTCCGTGGAAAATGCGTGACAATCTAGAAGTCCGATTTTCACCGTTCTGTTTTCAGACAAAAAATATATATTGAAAATAGACGTCGATTTACAGCTCGATTTTTACCATGAATAGACATCTATTCCTCCCGAAAACAGAACTGTAAATAGATCATCTTTTTCTTGATCGATTCCCACCGGGAATAGACGTCGATTTTCACTGAAAATAGAGACAAAGAAAAGATGATCTTTTTTCACTGAAAAAAGATTAAAACCACTGGAAGAATCTGTTGATTCTGGCCCCAATTCACATCACAAGTCCTGCAGCATGATTCCAGCATGTTGTGAGTAGCATCCAGTAGCCTTTTGCAAGGCTAGGGATGCAAATTGGGGCCAGAATCGACAGATTCTTCCAGTGGTTTTAATCTTTTTTCAGTGAAAAAAGATCATCTTTTCTTTGTCTCTATTTTCAGTGAAAATCGACGTCTATTCCCGGTGGGAATCGATCAAGAAAAAGATGATCTATTTACAGTTCTGTTTTCGGGAGGAATAGATGTCTATTCATGGTAAAAATCGAGCTGTAAATCGACGTCTATTTTCAATATATATTTTTTGTCTGAAAACAGAACGGTGAAAATCGGACTTCTAGATTGTCACGCATTTTCCACGGAAAAAAAATAAGCCCCCCCGCAGTGTATGTGGGGAAATTCCCAGCCTTGGTCCTGGTGACAGAAATACGGCCTCGATGGTGATCCCAACACTTTCAGTGCTGATGTATAGGCCTCCTCTCCAATCGCTGATTAGATCTCAGAGTCTCCAGGATCGATCACACAATCAGGATATAGGTGCTCAGCAGAGGGGCATAGATAGCGAGGACAACAAATAGAACCCAGCGTAAATACGACCGGGAGGGTACAGGCAGCATAGATAGCGAGGACAGTAGATACAACCCAGCGTAAGTACGACCGGGAACATAGATAGCGAGGAGAACAAGTACAACCCAGCGTAAGTACGACCGGGAGCTGCAGACAGCATAGATAGCAAGCAGGGAACGACAAGCGATGGAGAACAATATAAAAACCGCGGGAGAGACGGAGCGAGGTCGTGCTAGCAAGCAATACAAAGTGAAGTGAGTCCAAAACCACTGCACGAACGACGGATCCCCCATTCGAGAATCCGCCATCACACGCGACGGCCTCGGCCACCACGGCGGGTCCGGGCGGTCTTGCCACCAGCCGCGGCAGCGGCCACTGGAACGCGAGTCTGGCGCTTTCTCTGCTGCGGAGGGACGTACGCATCCGAGTCCCATCTGTTGAACACGACTGCGTGAGTATCGGAATGGACAGACCAAACACAGGGACTCACGCGTCAGACACATCGGCTTTGGACCGGCCAGACAGCGACTCGGATGCCCTGCGCTTACGTTCACGGCTGTAGGGATTCTCGAAGGGGAATTTGTACAAAACCCAGTAGCTGCCGCGCCCGCGCTCGCCCGCCCGCTTCGGGGACCGCTCGAAGCAGCGGTGCAGGGACAGATTATGACGAATGGTGTTCTACGCATGATGAGTTCCTAATACTCGAGTGACTGCGCAGACATAAACACACCTGCCATGCCAAGTCTCCGGATGCCTCGCGATTTCTGTAGTGGCTGAACCGCGTGCGCATTTTTTCGAAGATGCCCTGGAGCGTCAGGCGCTCGTTCTCATACAGCGCGACCTTCGTGATGAGCGGGAGCGAGATGGGCGGCTTGCAGTTCCAGTCGGGCATCGACCAGAGACTGATGGCCTGGTCTGCGGACAGCCCACAGTCCTTGCGGAGCTCCTTCTCGAAGTTGATCAGCTCGCGGCCTTCCTCGTCGAACAGGCGCTCGTGCTCGTAAGGGACCAAAGAAACCTGTCTCGAAGAAGCGGGGGGCCCGTTTGCGAATGCGGACGGGCTGGAGGCGATCTTGAGCTCGTGAAGAGGTGGTGCGAACGGGTCGATGGACAACCCTGCCTGCAGCGGGGAATACATTGTCTCCTGCGATTCAGTCATCACGAGGAATAACAGATTGTTGACTCGAAAAAAAAAACACACCGGAGAAAGCATGGATGACTTCGAGTCCTCACAAAAATGCTGAGAGTGCGACGAACGCACAGGTCCGCTGCGGGGCTCGCGTTGAACGAAATTCGTCGACCAATTGTGCATGCCGGCCATGTCCAACAACGGTGCCAGCCGTTGCGTGGTGTCGAGCGTGTAGCCATCGAGGCTCATCGATGCGATGTACGGCGAGCAGGGGTCGAAGGACGACACGGACATTGACGGGGACGCCGCATCCTCGTCCGCGCCGAAATCCGCGAGGGCCTCGTCGGTGATGAGGTCGCAGAGATCGAGGGCGGGGGAGTCAGACTCGGTGTCCGAGTAGGCCTGGAGGTCGTTCTTGTAGCTGAAGAGCTCGTCGTCGAGGGCAGCGCGGCCGAAACGTGTGTTTGCCATGGGGGTTGGGGAGAGGGAATGCATCGACGGGCGGCGGGGGGGAGGAGAGCTCGTCGTGGGTTGAAAAAACAACAACACTGTGAGGCGAGGCGGGGTGTCCGATTTATACGCTTCCGGCACCTGCCCGGGGAGTTACTATGCAGAAGTGGACTGCCGGCCCAGATTCAATCGGTCACAATAAATAAAATATTCTCGCTACCGGCATCCCTTAAGCGTTTCCGGGAATGGGTCAAAACGGCAGAACTGAGCGAGTGCTCGATGGCACCTGCGGCGCGACGACCCAATGAGAGGATTGAGAACGCCGATCCCATCACAGATATTGTGTGCGTTTGATGGATACTAGCGCGGCCGAAGACAATTCTTCCCATGCGGAGCTATCAGATTATTGTGCGTCTGTGCAACGTGTTGCACTGGCTGCAGGCACAGAGGAGCACAAAAACGGACAAAACTCCCTCGAACATCGCCGAGGCCGATAACTGGTCCAATTTGAACTTAAGTCACGTTATCCTGTAGCGTGCCATCACGGGAGCGGTGCATCGGAACACATAGGGAGCTGCGATGCGAGACAGTTGTCTCAGACGGATAAAAGGAGCACAAGGACGATTCACGCCTGCGCCTCCTGTCACCCAGAAAACGAGGGCGAACTGGATCGATGGGGATATGCCTATCTGATGTGCGCCTCTCAGAATGTCCACGGAATTGGGGGAATCCTCCGCGCGGTCAAACGTGGATCATGATGCAAGCTCTCCCCCCGAATCCATCTCGAAACCTTAAATATGCAGACGCCCTGTGATTCTTGCCACTGACTCCATGTCGTCCGCCGGACGGATCCTGTGCCTTATCTAGGCGCTCGAGGAACGAGGAGGGGACGGGATCAGAGAAGGAACGCGAAATCCACCGAAAGCGTATGCGCGGAGGACTTCCAACATGACATGATGTGCGAAGAAGCCAGGTGAAACAAAAGGAATACCCATTTTGAGCTTGGGTGTACACCGAATCAGACAGGGAGATCAAATGGAACCGCGCCTGCCCTTTCCACTCTGGAAAGCATGGAACCTGATCCTCGCGATTTCCCAGTGGCGAGCCTGTGATCGATGGACAACGGCTGCTGATGACGCCCTTGAATGACTCAGGACGTCATCCCGGAAAGCCTAGCCCCTGCATTCCTGCTCTTACTCCGCCCCTTCGTCCGGTTATGACCAGTCGTTCGAGAGAACAAAAACAATCCCGAAAATCTCAGTTGTGTACCCCTGTGGGTCCGCGTGTGTCCCTTGCTCTCGAAAGTCAAAACGGTCGCCGCATCTTATCCAAGAATCTGGTCAGGAATCGCCCCAGGAGCAAGACGGACGAAAAACGAGGCAACATCCGTCATCTGCCGGCGAGGCCTCCAGCTCGACCCTGGGCATGTTCGCCAATGCCGGACAGCTGGCAATCAACGGCACTGCACGTGAGCTCGGTTAGAACTACCCTGTGCCCGCGCTCCCAGGGTGCGGAGTCTTCGCGGGGGCTATGAATGGCCAATTCTACGATGTGATCACAAGGACCCGGATTAGTGGGCTGCCCCACAGGGATCGCCGCGTCTCGGCTTCGAAAGGGCGCTCGCGCACATGCTCGTAGCACACGTTCCGTTCGCGAGGCAGCGACGAGGCTCCCGTGAAGCTCAGATTAGGAGCGATACCGCGGTACCGCGCACCCGGTCCGGTGCTTATGACTCGACGTGAGTTTCCTTCTGACGCAGAGTCCCAGGGCCCACGTCGAATCGCACGTCCGGAGAATCGGTTGCCGTATCGCCAGTGACCCAGAACGCGGCTCGCCATCGTCGATTTCAAGGATCGCACTTCACATGCTCTCGTGTACACTCCGATCTGCACTGCCCGGAAGATATGATTAGGATAGGATGATGACATTCCTTGGTTCACGGATCGATGCTCTGGATCCCATCTATCCTGTCCGCGCCCAAAGCACACAGATGACGCCAAATCATGTCCTGTCCTGTCCTGTCCTGTCCTGCCTCGCTGTGGACGAGCGGATACGACAAGCAGTTTTACAACGGATTCCACCCGGATCGTCCCCAGTACCTCGGGCCTATGCGCACGACCACGACCAGTCCAATCGCCACTTTGGCCACATCGAATACGAAATAGGCTTTGCGGGATCCCATCAGAAACGCAGCAGCGCCCAGAGCCACGAAGATCCATCGCACGGAGAGTCTTCTCTCGAACCTAGAACAGTGATTGGGCTCAGCGCTCGACCCATATGCGGAAGACAACAACCCACCGCTGCTCCTCAAAGACAGGACCCCCTACCCACGTCAGAAAGTCGACGAGCAGCAAAAACGGCGCAACGCTGAGCACGAAGTGATCCCCGTCAAATGGTGTGGTCAGCCCCGCGGTCGCCAGAGTCCGGGCCCAGACAACGAGCACCGGCGCGGCCAGTGGCAGAAGCCAAGTCATCAGCAAGAGCAAGTGCATGCTGTGATTGTGGTTCGCCGTGATGTAAGGCGGTGTCGCTGATGGGCGACGAGCGACGTCACTCGCTTCATGTCCGTCTTGCTGCCGAAGCAGAGGGATCGCGACTGTATCTGGGATGCTCGCCAGATGTTTCAAGTGAACTTGAGAACCAGCACAATTGTACAAATGGATAGCCCAGCAACCGAGGAATGCCACTTGCCACGGCACGACCAAGAAAATGAGCAGCAGAACGAGAGCCATCGAGATGAGCGTGCTGCGATGCACGCTAGAATCTTCCCGCCGTCTCCGGGTCGTTGAGTTGGCAGCAGAGTGGAACAGCAGCTGAGAACTACACACCGTTTGAATCTCGATCCCCCCAGCTTCCCCAACGGCCACATCAAGACTCTGAGAATCCACCAGCTGACGACGACGAAACCAGTCGCAACAAGCAATAGCACGGGTGCAATGCCACTGAACAGCAAGTGTCCCGCATTGCCAAGATAGAACTCAACCGGCAGGGGCACAGCGGACAGCAGCACTGACGCCAACAGCATTCGACGCAAAGGCTTGCCCACAAAGTCGTCGATATTTGATGGAACATCGGGCACTGCACCGGACTTGAGAGAGATATTCAGACGTTACAGACCGCCGCACCTTCAGTAGCACTGCGCCAAGCGTTCAACAACAAGATAGATACAACACCGACGGCCCATGCAGGGACTGCAGTGAAGTAGCGCGTCGCGACACGACCCAGGGTCGCGGTCCAGTCAACAGAGATGTTCAGTGTAGGGCGACATGCAGAGGAATAGATCGTGAACTCAATCCCCGTCAAAGGGGATACGACGTGTGGCGCGGAGGCGTGCGTATGCAAGAGTATTCGGCTGCCAGAGAGCGGAAAGTAATGTGTCTCGGAGGGATGCGATGTATGTGCGATCAAAGGCTCGAAGAGGGGTCGTTCAGGACAGGAATCTGCCCCTTCTAAAGTCACACGATGCACGATGAGCGCGTTCGACAGCAAGTTCGGGAACGAAAGAGTCGTTTTCAAGTTCGGACTTGTTGGCAGTGTCGCAGAGACGTGTCCGAACATCAGTCCTAGAAGAGACAAGTGGTCAGTCGACCGTCGTCGACCGTCGAAATAACTTGAGATCACTCACGAAGAGTGCCAGCTCCATTTTCGATCTTCTGCTCGGTAGTCAGGCCTGCGGCAATCCACCCTGAGCCTTGTCCCCCAGTCACGCTCACACTAATCCAGCGCGAACCCTTGGGCACCACTGCCTCGAACAGCACAGCACCTTCCGATTCATCAGCGCCCTCTTGTGGCACGGGAAACGGTCGCTCCGGAAGCGGATTCGGGATGAGCTTGAGCGTAGTCGGTTCTAGTACAGAACATCTTGCGTTCTCGTCCTGACAGGAGGACGTAGACACAGCGAGGGTCCCGACTTTGTGCGGCCCGACGGGGCCGACGGAGCCACCGGAGACAAGCATAACGAATCGCGCTTCCGAGGCAGGCACGGGCAGGCGATACGTCCGATTTCCGCGAGGATTTTGCAGTTGCAGACCGTCAGGCACAACATCCCCATCATCCACTTGCGATCCAGCAGCGTGAAGCAGAGGAGCGGGCCCATGCCCGTCTCTCAGCCACCGATCGAGCGCCTGCGGAGACCCCATCGCACCCAGCTCAAGCGCAGCCCGCGCAACACGCCACCGCACCTGGTGACACCACACCATCTCGCGGTGCCCAACGCCCGTCCACGCGCCCTCCAGCGCAGACGTGAACACCGTGCGCCGGAACACGTCCCGCGGTGCCGCCACGGGCGGCAGGATGCACGCCTCGGACGGGATCATCATGTCCGCCGCGCCGCCGCACAGCGACACGATCGGCGTCCCCGCGTCCCCCCGCAGCACGCGCTGGTTGCGGCCGTACACTGCGTCGATGCGCGCGTCGAACCGCGCCGGCGGCAGCGTGTGTGGCGTGCTCATGGTGATCACCGCGGCGATGTGCGCGGACGGCAGCAGCGCGGCCGCGACGACGCCGCCCATCGAGTGGCCCATGACGGTGATCTGCGTGCCGGGTGGGTAGAACGAGAGGATGTAGGCCACTGCGCGCGCAGTGTAGGCTGTCTGGGCTTCGAGCGTGGGGCCGTGGAACGCAGATAGATCTTCGTTGAACTCGACTGCGCGGTGCCGGTCAGCCCACAGCTCACGCACACCCGTGTCCACTGACCGGCGAAGAAATCCAGCGGCTTTACTGCCGTCCCCCGAAACTCTGGTGCGACCGAGAACGGCGCGTCGAAGTACTGACGTGTCGCAGACGATGCGATAGATCGCACTTGTCGTGACGACCCCGCATTCCCGGGAATGAAGAGCACGGGTGTACCCAGTCCTTGCGATACCTGAGATTCCGTCACTCAGCAGAACCGAAGTGTGAAGTCAAATATACATTGGTCCCTTCCCAACCCCGTCCGTAGCCGTCAACCTCTCGATACAACCACAACGAATATCGACGCGCCAGGGGAGTCCAAACCAGGTCAAATCCGTCTTGTAAAACGTACGACGGATACATATACGACATGCGACATCCTTGCGGAGAGAGTTCGAGAGCTATGTCCTCGGTCGCATAATACAGCACCGCGACTGTGAGGACGGAAAACAGTGCGATGAGTTTCGGTTCAAGCCTCATCAGTACGTGGACCGAAGACTGCTTCACGCGAAATTGATTTGACGACAGAAGCTTTACTCCATAAGGACTAAGTCAGAGAGCAAGTGGTGATTATTGCATGCATCTACAGTCCGGCGAACGGATTCTCAAATATGTAGCGCTAATAAGAAGTACGGTTTGATTTGATTCAGGATGAATGTAGTGACGGCGGGGAGTGGAGCATGAGGGACATCAAGAAAAAACTGCAGCAAGAACGACCGATTACTCCTCGGCGGGGGCCTCGGCAGCCTCCTCCTTGTCAGCGGGCTTATCTGGTGGCCGAATATCAGAAATCGAGCAAGATGCAGAACATATTCACTGACCAGAGTCCTGCATGTCAGAAGTCCAGAGGGTCAAGTTGTCACGCAGGAGCTGCATGATCAGGGTCGAGTCTTTGTAGCTCTCTTCTGATAACGTGTCGAGCTCGGCAATGGCATCATCGAAGGCTTGCTTTGCCAGGTGGCAAGCGCGGTCAGGCGAGTTCAGGATCTCGTAATAGAATACGGAGAAGTTGAGCGCAAGACCGAGACGGATGGGGTGCGTAGGTGGCAGCTCGGTGACAGCGACATCGGATGCGGCCTTGTAGGCCTCCAATGACTTGTCAGCGCTGTCCTTGCGCTTGTCGCCAGTGGCGAACTCGGCGAGGTAGCGGTGGTAGTCACCCATCCTGTATTCGTTAAGTAAGCTGCCACGATGCAACTTTTGCCACTCACATCTTGTGGTAGAACACCTTCGACTCGCCAGAGGCGGCCGAGGGGATGAGGTGCTTGTCAAGCACGTCGAGGATATCCTCGCAGATTTTGGCAAGCTCGGCCTCGATCTTCTCCCGGTACCCCTTGATCATGGTGACCTGGGCCTCGTTGCCCTTGGACTCCTCCTTCTGCTCAATCGAGGAGACTATTCTCCAGGACGCCCGGCGAGCACCGATGACGTTCTTGTATGCGACAGAAAGGAGGTTGCGCTCTTCCACGGTGAGCTCCTGGTCGGACGAGGCGACGCGCTTCATGTTCTCGACCATCTCTACATCGGCGGTGAGAACAAGCTTCGGGAGCGGACACGTTGCACGTACCCTCATAACGCTCAGCCTGCTCAGCGAGCTTGGCGAGGTAGACAGAGTCTTCACGGGTCTCAGACATCTAAGGATGACGTGTTAGGGCGCGACGAGACGCGTACGACGCGAAAGCAACACACAATGGTAAAGGTGGGGGGATGGGCTGCAAGCACGATGAGCGGAAAGGTCAATGGCGGGGACGACGAGGACACTCACGGGGTGGTGGGGTTGGTGGTGATGTGGTGTGGGTGTGGTGGTTGTGGATAAGGAGATATAAGGCGAGAACGCAAACCCTTGACCCTGTTACCCTCGTGACACTGTGACTTTCTAGAACATATCGCTGACGTAATCATGATCGTAGCTCATGTGCATTTGCACTTGATTTGGACACCAGTTGTCGTCGTGTCTACGCCCACTGAACTCGCTGAAAATGCTTCGAAAACACGGAATGTATTCTGCAACACGTGCGATTGTTGTGTCGACTCCAGAGGTAGATATTCTGTTGGTGGCTCCGTAAACCCTCTGCCCTGGTGGCGGTGCCAAAATCCCCACGGTCCCCTTTTTGTCTTGTCTTGCGGATCTGCACCAACTGCCATGGACCTTTGCTTGGGCTCCGATGAATTCAGTCTTTGGGTTCCTCGGGAATCGGTGCTGTTATCTGTTGGTTGCCATTCTGACTCCTTTGCCATCCGCACTGCCTTTGCTCCCTTTCGATCCTTACCACGCCCAAGGGCAAGGTCACTCCACTGTCACTCCATTTGCCGTACGCTGCGTCAACATTACGTAGACAGAGTAAGTTTTTGCCCTCGTTTCTCCAACCGAGGCTGGCGGATGGGATTCTGTGAAAGAAGCCGGTTTCCAGGCTGTATCGAATGCTTTCATAACAAGCTGATCGCGGTAAAGTGACGCGTCTATCTTCGAGGCTTCATAAAGGCTTCATCTGAGCACTTGCACCCAGGGCTAGGGCTGCGTCTCTCGCCCTCTCTTTTGCGGATCTCGGCTAATCCATCTGTCTCAAGAACAAGAACCGCCACAGCTATGTTTAGTCCCTGGTGATCGTCAGCCAGCTCGCGTTCCTCATCAACAAGGATCGATCCGGTGTTACAGCACGCTTCAACGCAGTCGCAATCTCACTCTTCCAAAAAAAATCGATCCGAGCTACAATCTGTCTTGGGGCTTGATGAGGTCAAGTACAGACAGGTCAACAATTTGTCGAATTGAACTGAACATGCATATCACAGACAGATGATGGATGTGAACCCTGAACAAATGAGATGTGTGTCACATTCGATCTCTTCGTGCGTGTTGCTGCTCAATTCCACTATGATTATGACCACTGCGATCGACGGCATAATTGCAGCAGTCGCCCGTCCATCACACGATCATCAATCCACCCGAGTCTTTGTCTCGTCAAGACGATTCAAAGGGGTGAATCATGACCGCTCTTTCGCATCGAAGATGACGATTATGATGGGGTGGGTAAGACGTATTCACTCAACGAGGTGGCAACATCAGAGAGAGTTATCTCAAGGTATGTCGCCATTGTGCAGGAAATATGCCAAGGCGTCACCATGTCGAGGTTCACGTATATGCGGCCGTCCTCACACCACCATAAAGTCTAGCAGCCGCTGACTGCCTATCCTTACCAATCGCCGCACTTTCTGGAAGCCCCGGGAGAGAAATCGACCGCGGCTAGGCACTACTACATGAACATCGCCCCCGACAGATGCTTTGGCAAGGTTAATTTATGGCTCGCGATCGAGAGTGAAAGAGCTCTTTGGACGCCAAAGGAACGATACGGTATGTTTGTTCATGTCGCAAGAGTGTTCGAAGATGGATGGATGGTCAGCAATGGCACGCATCCTGACTGGGCCACCGAATAATGCTATCGGGTGGCCGTCTCATCATAAGACCAAACTCGAACAGACTCCAAGCACATTCGCTGCACACTTGCAGTCAATCGCAGATAATTGTGATGGATCAGTATCCATGGCTTATCGACCTTATTTGTAGAGAGTGAACTCAGGCAATTGTAACGAGCTCAATCCAATGAATTCATGTTCTTCTTAGCCATCTGACATACAAATTGGAATTCATTCCGGAGAAAACTAGTCCTCGTGCGAAGCTACACCTTGCTCGCAATGAAAGCAGCGGCCGATTTCGCATCGAGCCCATACGTCCTGAAAGATAAGATGGGCCCTTCCTAAATCCACTCCAGCCATGGTACGTACAGATGCGGTAGCAGGATGAGAGCCCCGTGCGCACAGATATCATCCCCGGCATGGCACACGACGTTCGTGTTCGCCGCGCTGACGCCCGCAACCGGAGCGCCGTTGTCAGGATCGCCCTGTAAATTCATTTTCAACACCCCCAGACTATCGGAATCCGAGGGATGAGGACGAACGAAGATCACGGCCGCTTTGACGCGAGACGATACAGCGGGGGACACGAGTTTGGCCGAGTTGTGGACGAGCTGACCACCTTGGCTGTATCCGACCGTCACAAGTGACGCCTGTGAGTGAAAATTAGTCCAGACTAGAAATCACGGCACTTTCAGGGTCCATTGACGTACTTTCGGGCACGAGTTCGCCGCGTTCGTGAGCTGTAATACACAACCACAAACGCATCATCAGCCCAAATCCAAAATGACAAGCAAAAAAAGACACAAGAAGCAAGCAACTCACGTCGTTAGCCATGGCCTGTGATCCTTGCGGGTCTCCCCCAGCCAAAAACCCCTGCACGTTGGCAGGATAGTTCACACCCGCGAACGAAAGCGACTTCCCCGCGGCCCCGAGTGCGCTGGTCAGCGCCGACTGGAGGGGCGGGCCGACGACGCTCCCGATCGGTGCGACCTCGGTCGTCCCACGTGCGAATACAACCTGCAGCAGAGATCAGTCAGCGCGACCTGAGATCGTGGTGACAACTGACCATGACGTCTGCGCAGGCGGCCTGCCGCCTGTGCGCAGTGGGTGCTCCCCAAACGAAAGACATGAGGAAAAAGACTTGGAGAGGAAAGAAGGAAATAAATGTACGCATTCTGAGTGAGGGGGTTCCGGCTGAGAATTCGCACGGCGGATCGTTTTATAGAGAGCAGCCCAACCCGATCCATCCGATGCAGCTAATTAATCACTGTATATTCCGCCAGGCTACTGCACCCGAAGCCTTCCTTGCCTACCATAGAGTGCATGCGCACCACCACACCGGAGCTCCGACGCAGCATCGGCGGTGAGAGACAGTGATCGGGACACTCAACGCTGTGATGGCAACATGGCATAAAGTTCAACCGTGGGAAATGATCGCGCTCACCCGCTGACCGTTCGACCGTCGAACATCAGCCTTTTCAAGCTGTAGATCAAGCTGGGAGAGATCTCGAAGCGCTCAGACACCCAATTTTGGCAAGGTTCGTCATGCAGGATCGTAGGTATGAATAGAATTTAATCTGGTTACCAACCTCCTAGCTGCGACAGGAATCCTATCTGTCAGGCTAGGGAGCCTCTTTCGGAAAACAAAGACGAGTCAGCCACCCGTTGAAACATATCCGAATGCTCCAACGATGTCCGGATGGGCATGATGAAGAACGGACGTGCGAACATCGCGAGAAGGCATCAAAATACACAATGGCATGCTCACCTGAGAGAGAGAGATCGAATTGACATGGTTGAGATATGATCGCTCAACCGAAAGTCCAATATTCCGTCCCGTTGCCGATTCCATATAACGTATCTGCAGACTGGTTTACTATGGTCGTACGAAGACGAAATCACTCAAATCGGGCATGCTAGATTCCCTTCATTTCCCCGCATTTCCCCGCATCCGGCCTTCGGAAAAGCGAAGATCCCGTTGGCATATATCTGAAGCCACGTTATCGTAGGTTATAGCTTGAAAGCACGATCCGTTGATGCCTGGTGTATCACTTGTGTGACCGACTACACTCCATTGCGAGAATCCACAACACGAGAGTATAAAATCACGCATCACCCTGCTCGTCAGACCCCAACAACCGCGCCCACTCGAGCAAAACAGCCGCAAAATAACAGTCGTTCTGCCTGTCCGTGATGACCCGCCGCGCAAACGCCATCCCATTTTGCTGGATCTGGCGCGCCTCTTTATCATGCGCGCGCGCCCACTCAACCTTTTCCACGAGATCAGATAGGTCAATTTTGACAGGGATGTAGTGCTCGTAGGGTCGCAGCCAGTCGTTGAAATACTCGGCAAATGCCGTGGCCTATTCGTTTTCAGTACTGGCATACGACAGGTAATTCATGAGGGATCCTGACCTTGAAGACCAGCGATCCAGACCTCAAGAGTCCGAGGTATCGACCGCTGAACGTGTTTCCTGACGGGCCATCAGAATCAAGTTCCTATTACAGCAGACGAAAGACCCACCATCCACATCGAGCGCGTACTTGTACTTGTACACATCCTCCCGGGCATCGAATCCCCCAGAGACGAGGTACTCCGCCATGACCGCCCACGCGTCGCAGTCGGACTGGCAGTGCTCGGCATACCACCCGTTCATCTGCGCGTCGATAATGTCAGGTCGCGCCCGTGCGAGCTTGATGAGCCGGAAACGAGTGAACTTGTGGTGGTTGTCGTGGATGATCGTCCCTCCGTTCGAGGATCCACGCCAATCTGCGCGGCGATGAGCATATCGCGACGATTGTTCGAGTAGACAATCACACACACAGCTGCGGCTTCTTTTCCTGCCAGGGCACAAGGTCCGGGCTGCTGAATTTTCCGGACCAGGCGGATGATTCGTAGTAGTATTGTCCAGGGAACAAAATGTCAGCAAAGCATGGTGAGAGGACTTTGGTCATGCTCAAAAGGGGATATAGATCCGTCGTAAAGTCGGAAGTCGAGCTGGATCGAATAACTAATCGCAAACGTTCAATTCTTCTGGATAACGTCAATTTTGCACCTACAAGCGACATCTTCCAAAGCATCAATCGCAAAACCCTTCTCCGTCAGGAGAGCATCGCATCCGCTGTGAGACTTGAAAAAATCGGATGTCGGAACTGGTGCAATGCGGAACGGTTGCTGGTCAGAAATCGCCAATCCCGCCTTGCGCATGTTGGGATCCTGCGTGTTGAACACGACACGTGGCTCATCCCGCCCGTTGATGAGGAACGTCATGTTGGGTAGAATATATGCGAACTGGGCAGGTGGAATGCTGTTAACAAGCAAAGCTGGACAAGAAAGAACACACATTGGACAACGTCTGCCGCCATTCTCCATCCCACGCAGAGCCCCGATACTCAGGCATGTGCACATATCCGTTCTCGATCTTGATCGTCACCATCCCCTTCGGATCCAGGTCCATCTGCGATGAACACCCGTCAGCTGTCTTCCAAGCGGGTAAGAGAACGCAAAAACCAGGCGTCGCCCTAGATCCGTCATCCTGCGAAAGTGCGCCGGGTCGTCCCGTGCGAGCTGGTAGAACGGCTCGAAGTCGCGCTGCACCTGCTGGTACTCGTCGACGAGACAGCGGTGCTCCTGCGCGTAGGCGAACCACTGGTCGAAGCCCGGTGGCGGCGCGCGGCCGTTCCGCAGCGTGTATCTGCTCGTGGCCTCCTCGAGCGTCCGGGACTGCTGCGCAAGCAGCGCGTCGATGCGCACGGACGCGACGAGCGCCGGGTCGGTGATGATCGTCGGCTCCCAGCGGATCATCTCCTCCGCCACGCTCGCGTTCGTCCCCACGCCAGGCTCGGCAGGGGGATCCTCGCCTTCGTAGGTCTCAATCATCTCTAGAATCCACTCAGGTGGCGAATCGTCGACGAGCAGCGCGGTGGAGGGTGCAGTTGTAGGGTCAGATAGGGAGCAGTGTGAAAGGAAAACAATGAGGGAGATGGCCGCGAGGATAGTAGTGAAGCGCGCCCAGAAGGACATACGGCTGACGCGTCGAGGAAGTTGTGTAGATAGGAATAGATTGTCCGCCAGAATCTCGCTGGGTGAGCGCCTTCGACGACCGATGAACGGCATAGCGAGCGGAGGGTATATAGTAGTATTGTTCTGGGAAGAGGTTAGTCTGTGCAGCTGTCTTCAGTCTCCCTGGCGGAATGAGGTGGGAAGGATAGGGGCTATTTCTGATTTGCGCCACTTGATGTGGACTGCGTGACCGCGTTGTTTCCTTCCTTTTTCTTTCTCAAATGACTTGATTTCTCACCGATGGCCCGGAACACTGCGAGCAGCCATGAAGCGCCGCACATAACGGGCTGATCGAGGTAGGGGTTAGTAGTGGCAACGATACCGCTCATTGAGTGCTCGGTACCACTAGATTCTGTATCAGCCCTGACTGACGAGTATCTCAAAACCGTACTTTGATTTAATTCTTCCTCCGTTCACAGCACGGACCTGCGCCTTTGTCCCAGATCTTCCATCAGGACGACCCATGTACGTTTTGAACGCCTCCCCCATTTGTTCGCGATTGTATCCCATCAGTCTATTTCACCCATATCTTGAACCTTGAACTTCTCCTACGAGTGAAGGGATCGCAAAAAAAAGTGCTAGCGGTATATGAGACCGGTGTAGAAACGAACTGAATCCTCGAAGATCCCATTCCATCATTGTTGTGACCAGTTTGTCATCCGTAAGGACCGCGTCACATACGTCCAAGGCCAGTGCACGTTCGACGGGTCGAAAAGTCGGATTTCACCAAGTACATCTCCCCTCCTCTTCACCGCGATGTCCGCACCTGCCTCCGGAGGCGCGGCTGCGCAGCCCGCACAAGAAGAAGAGTCGACCTTTAAGAAAGTAATAGGCATTGCCCAAGTGAGCCTACCCCCGTCCAGCTGCGAACTTGGGCTCCAAAATGAACGCACACCCCGCTTTAGCAAGCCTTCATCTTCTGGGCGATCTCGCAACTGGGTACGCGGCCTATCGTGCCACCCGTGTTCCGCATCTTATCACTGAATGTGGACCTGCACAGCGTCTAAATACCTGTTCTCGCAATTTGGGGACTCGAAAGCACCGGCCGCGACGACAACGACCACGACGACGGCCGACGGCACACCCGCTTCCGCCGAGGCGGTCAATCCATGGCTGCTGCCCCCGCAACAGGTGCACCCGGCCTGGGAGCTGAACCAGCCGCTGGACATGCACGTCCACCTATCGACCTCACCCAGCGGCGACGTTTTCTCGTCGCGGTGGACGTCCGGCTACCGCAAGGACCGCGACGAGGGCCTCCCGAGCTTCGTGTGGAACAACATCTCGTTCGGGAACTGGTCCGAGTCGAGGACAGCGGAGTTCGACGTCACCTTCCCCGAGGTGCGTACCCAGATCAGTGGTCGAGTGTGGCATGGAGGGCTGACGGCCCGGCTAGAACGTGTTGAATAATGGCTCCCTGTGGGCGGATATCTTTTTGACGAGGGACGGTGCCAGCCCCAACCCTCACAACGCGGCTTTCAACCCCGAAAACGTCCATCATGTCCGCAAACGTACGCATCGGCTTCGCAATCGCACTTGTTTTCTTATCAACTGCACCAGTCTTGACGCCCCACATTCCCAAGTTGAAAGTCCGGAAGGTGAAAAGTCTTTTGGCGTCAAATGCCACCGAGGAGGAAGAGCCCGATGTGCCAGAGGAAGACGTGATTGTTGCTCACTGGCATCCAGTACGTCTGTCTCTCCTTACCAGTGCTCTCAACTCATTTCATCGGCCAGAACGTCACCCTTGCTCTCGTCTCTGACGCCGTCGTCATTCCTTATGCAACTTCGCCGCCCCCAGTCAAAGAACGTTCGTACGCTTTTCAATTCAGATCGACCAGTTAATCATCCGTGTTCCAGTCGTCATCCTTGTGCCCGACACCCGGGACGAGACCGGCACCAAGGGCACCTACAAGCCCATCGTATTCCCGAACGAGTTCTGGCACCTCCGCTCGCACTACATCGAGCTCAACTCGACGACGCCAACCCTCCCGCTCCAGATCGTGTTCCAGCCGATGTCGTTTATGAAATTCCAGGTGTATGCGTCGATGACGCACGGGTTCAACGAAGCGGCGAAGCAGCAGGGGGCTGGGATGGCTGAGATGGACGAGCTCAAGCGCATGCTGTTGGAGACCAACCCTTGGTTCTTGGCTCTGACTGCACTGGTCACTGTGCTGCATATGCTGTACGTTGCTTTTTCTGGTGATAGACGCCTTTCTCATGTTTCTTTCCTTAGCTTTGAGATTCTGGCATTCAAGTCGGATGTGAGCCACTGGCGCCAAAAGAAGGAGATGGTTGGTGTGTCTGTCCGAACGGTGGGTGGCCCATCTTTTCTTTCCGATATGGAGCTCACACGCGATCCAGATTATTACGAACGTCTTCGTGCAAACTGTCATTCTCTTGTATCTTATCGACAACAAGTGAGTGGAAGGCACAGTATCGAGTTTGTCGCTGAAGGTTTTCTCAGTGAGAACACGAGTTGGATGATCTTGTTTGGCTCGGGCACTGGTGTGCTCATCGAAGCATGGAAGGTGTGTTGCTTGCACTGTTAGCTAATTGAATCTTATCACCAGTAGATCACCAAAGCTGTCGATATCAGCGTTGTCCCTGCGCCAGGGACTCTTCTGCGTTACAAACTGGACATCCAAGGTCAGTTCATGGTGGTCTTGCGATCTGTCCTGAAGCTCACTTTGCACAGACAAGCACGTTCTGAGCGAGGACGAGAAGAAGACGCAGGAGTACGACCGACTGGCGTTCCGATACGTGTCGTATGTGGCGATCCCGCTCTTGGCAGGCTACACGGTGTACTCGCTGCTGTATGAGACCCATCGCGGGTGGTACAGTTTCGTGATCTCCACCTTGACGTCGTTCGTGTATATGTTTGGCTTTGTGAGTCCAGCTTCTGTGTCCGCAGTAAGCTGGTTTCGCTGACGCTGCCTACCAGGCGCAACTTGTTCCGCAGTTGATCATCAACTACAAGCTCAAGGTGCGCCGGACCTCTTCCTCTATCTTCACTGTCTCATTACTTCCACGCAGAGCGTCTCACACATGCCCATGAAAGCGATGATCTACAAGACTCTCGGGACTGTGGTTGATGACTTCTTTGCGTGCGTTTGACTTGGAATGCGCAAGCTGCTCATTGCTGACTGTTCGCACCAGATTCTGTATCAAGATGCCCTTCCTGCACCGGCTAGCATGTTTCCGAGACGATGTTGTATTCCTGATTTTCCTGTACCAGGTGCGTTTATTCAGTCTCACTGGACGTCGCACGACGAGAGATACCTGATGGACTGACGCGATGCTTTCCAGCGATGGATCTACCGCGTTGACCCGAAGCGAATCAACGAATATGGCCAGGTCATGGAGGAGGGTGCGGATGCGAAAGACCCGCAGGGGGAGTCCAAGAAGGACAAGTAGACGATGATGTATTTAGTGTAATGCCTCCATGCCATCTAATTCTACGGTAAAATACTCGCCAGTTCTCGGCGCGAGCATTCGACCGATCCCTTCCAGTAAAAGAACCTGAATTGCTCGACGTTCTCGATGCCTATCAGGTGTGCTAAATCGCATGCGCGTTTCGTGATCTTGTCGTAGAGCGTAGACGATTCTAAGGAACGCAGAGCACCGGCACCCCAGATACGCATCCACTATCGATGAGGGCAGAGGATCGGGGATAGGGGAGAAATTGGGGCACGTTTCATGGGTCATGCTAGGACGTCCCTAGGAACTACTCAGTGCTCACACTACCACTGGGGCTAGGGCTGATACATAGACAGGGGCTTGTCACATGCGCGTCTTGTCACAGGTCGTGACTTCAATGATCTTCCAAGCACTACATGGATGACGAACTCATCAACCCGGGATTGATTTTCGTTCACCACAACTAGACATTCGTTGTGCTATTGCTGCTGCCATACGACACTCGATAGCCTCCAATTCAGAGCAGAGTCAAGGGCAAAGCAAGGCTGGTCAGCTGAATGCAACCGGCGATCCGCGCACGCACGCACAAGTGTTGGCACAGAAAGACGTGCAGATGGAAACGCGTTTCTGCAATTAGGGCGCGACGGAGTCTTCATGATTGGGTGTGCAGAGCGTTCCAGCTTCTGGACCGCTGGTCCCTGGATGCTTTCCAGCCCAAGTTGCAGCCACAGGCGGACTCGGCGGCTCGCTCTGCTACAAAAAAGCCTATGCAGGAAACAGACCATGGATGCACCACCAACGATGAAGCTGTACATCCTACTCGCCTACATCACTACTGCATTGGCATCTTACCAGACCACGAGTCCTTTCGACTTTGGGCTTGAGGCCATCTGCGCCCGATTCGGACACCTCCTGCCATGGACGTACAACGGTTCCTGTGCACGCTGTCGAGATTTTTGCACTAACTCACATCAGCTGGTCCATTCTCACCACTGCCGTAAGTCCCAGCGCATAATTCTCGCACTGGCTCTCGATCACACCGTCTTTCAGCAGACCTCCAGAGAAATGTTCGCTTTGCAACAAAACATCGACGGCAGCTTCTCCCCTATTGCGCAAGGAATAAAATTCACGTCGGGGCGACTCAACAACGGCGGCTTGCACCCTATTGCGAATAAGATGCCGTATGTGCATTCTAACTCGCTGGATGCGGTCCCCGGCGATTCGCCGACCTTCATCACGATGCAGTATCCTCCCCAGTCCCCCAATGCGTACTGTTTAGTGGCGGGAGAGCATGGGACACTGCTGCCTGTAAATGGCATGCACGCTCAGTGGGCGCTGTGCCCGAATATCACAGCGGGATATCGTATGGATGTCGTGCTCCGCCCAAGAGCTGGCAACCCGCATTACCGCCTGGAGAACTGTGCCAAAATGTATCTGTCAGTCACTGCCGCTCATTGAATGAATATGCCGAGTGAATGTCAGCACAATGGATTGTCACCCTCGCGTCTTGTCACGATCCGTGACTTTGAGCATCTGTGTCTGTGTTTCTTGAAATGGAATCGCGTAACCCATGCGGAATGCTCGTTGCGCAGCCACACTCGATTACGTGCAGGTCTTCTTTCTTACTGTAAGAACAATCTGCAGCGGGTTTCACGGCCTCAAGCAGAACATTCTATCAAGTTCCAAGCTATGTTTCTGTGAGTTTCGAGAACACATAGGCCAGGTTCCATGGAGAACCCTTGATCAAATGCCGGCTGATCGTCTCAAGAGTCCGCCCCGTATGCTCTGAACCCCTCAGTCAATGATTGCAAGGGAACTCGGAGCCGATTCCCATTTATGATCTGAAACCAAGCATTGTGTTACATGCTACTGCTGTCATTTGAAGTCCCCAATTCTACGCGATTCTACGCTGACTCAATAGTCAAGGAAGGCACCGGCTACACAGTATCTATGAACGGGTGCACGGCTAGCACATCTAGTGTATAATACTGCACGCGCCCAAGCATCGGCGCACGAAGATGTGCAGATGGAATTCGGCTCACTGTAAGCCACAAGTGCAAAACTTTTCACACATTTCTTCCATTGGTCCAGGTGCGCAACGGCATCTTCATATCATGAAACATCGTATGGCGCATAGGGGGATCCAGCTTCTGGACTGCTGGACTGTGCCTGCTTCCCAGTCTAGCCCTCAATCGCAAGTAAATTTCGCGGCTTGTTCTCCTATAAAGCCTGCGCAGCAGACAGCGCTCCAGATGCACCACCATCTATGAAGCTATATATCCTCCTCGCCTACATCACTGTTGCATTGGCATCTTGCCAGACCAAGACCAGTCTTTCTGATTTCAGTCTCGAGGCTGTCTACGTCAACGCTCCACTCAATGGGCCCAGTTCTGTTCTCGTGAATGCAGTCGAGGTTCCACCCCCCGTGACCAAGATCAGCTGGTCCATTCTTACCGTTGCTGTAAGTGCTGCTACAATAGGCTCAGATGGTTCGCCATGACTCGAATTACTTTCCAGCCGACTGACCGAGAAACATTATTCACGGCGCAATCCGCCAGCAGCGGCTTCGATCCTACTATGCAAGGGATAACATATACGTCGCACCATCTCACCCACGGCGGCCTTCACCCCATTGCGAAAGGACTGCCGAACCTGCGCGTCAATTCGCTGGATGTTGTCCCCGGCGATTCGCCGAGCTTCATCACGACGCAGCATCCTCCCCCGGCTCCTGACGCGTATTGTCTGGTGCCCGGCGATCACGGCACACTTCTAGCTGTAAACGGCATGACCGACCAGTGGGCGCTGTGCCCGAATGCCACAGCGGGCAATCGTCTGGATGTGGTGCTCAGCCCGACAGCTGGAAACCCCCATTACGTCCTGGAGAAATGTAGCAAAGTGTATCTGTCAGTCACTGCTGCTCGTTGAATGAATATAATGAGAAGTGTCATATTGCATAATGGTGGTTGCATCGCGTCGAAAACCGTTGGAATTTTGGCTTTGAGTTGCTAGCGCGACTTGAGCATGTGAGCCGGTCCGCCGGCCCGTCGAAGCTACGCTTCCAAATAAGGAAACCAATGTCTTGGGTTGAAGATGTCAACTCACTCCACGTGCTCGTATGACATTGACAGGCAGGCGTCATTTCCAAATCTTTCCTGATCACTCGCACTCAGTCTCTAGCAATGACCACCAGGACGACGCGAACGACAACATCGGGCACCAAGAGCCAGTCCACGATAGGGAGCACAGCAGTGCGGACACACGGGTCGTTCGACTTCGAGCGGCCGGGATGGGGCGCGCGGTCCGGCGCGAATTCGCTGGGAGTGAGAACCCGCGCACGACATGTCGCGGCTATGTCTGCGGACAGCATACGGACGGACCCAGGCCCGCATTCATCGAAAGCGATGGATCACCAACAGAGGGCTACGGGTGCAGGCCTAGCCGGCGTGGGAGCAGCGCGCTTCTACGCGTCCATGGCCCCTCCAACGTGCGAGCCGCGCCCACAGCCACGGCAGGGCATGAGCAGCTGGGGCAGGAACGCGGGGAAACGACTCAGCGCGGGGCTGACGAGGCTGTTCGGTTCCGTTGGTACCAGCGCCAGGCCGGGGAGCAGCAGCAATGCGGGCGTTGGCCGACAACATGCCAAGTTCTCGTTTGAGCCCCCCGTCCCAATCACATCCCCACCCGCATCCCCTCTATCATCGGAGCCTGTGATGAAGCGCAGGCCGTCGCCGCCGACTCGGTCACCCAGGCGCGGACACAACGCGAGCCAGTCGACGTCTAGTTCAACAAGTTCCTCGCCTAGTGTCGGACACCGGTCAGGAACCAAACCGCGGTCGCTAGATCTGGGTCTCGGGCTCGCGTGGGCGCCGAACAAGCTCCGTGAGGACGCTGTGCTGCCTGCATCGCCGCTGGCCAGGAGCCTCGACGCAAGCCGGCGGGTCGAGCAGGGACAAAAGGTGGCCGAGGAGTTTCGGAATGTTCTAGACGACGATGGGTACCGAAGTTTCAAGCATTGTGAGTGTCGCGCGTCGTCGAGCGGCCCTCAGTTGCTCACGCAAGCCAACACAGACGTGCATCGCTTCGATATGCATGAAATGTCCATCGACGGCTCCGCTGGCATTGTTGCGCGGGTCGAGCGGCTGCTGAAGAAGACACGACATCTCAGTGACGAGGAGCGAGCAAGATTGATGGATTCGTTCGTTAGGATTATACTTCAAGCCTCATGAAACCACATGCTCAAGGCCGGGCGACGGGGACACTCACGCACATCTTTGGGCTCACCCTGCTTCATGTACCTTCTACTTTTTTATTTTGTATTGTCAACTCACAGGTCATAATTTACACATAATTTGTTTTCCGTATTCCCATCGCAATGCTATCCAATGCTTTCACGATTCGCCTCCGCGGTTGCACAGATCAACTCACTACCAGTCAAAACGATAACACAATGTCCAAGACTAAAACTCATTCTTCATCCACCCTCTTGGCAGAATGCCAATCGTCAATCACTTCCAAGACAGCGTCGATGTGCTCGACACCCATTTCAGCTTCTGCGTCGAGCGCAATGCATTGAGCGCTGCTGACGACGTTCTTGATCTTCAAAACAAGTACATGAGCGCAAGTGACATGCACGAGCGGGAAGCACAGACCTGGCGCCCGTTCATCTTGAGACCCGCCAGACGGTCGACATCTTCAGAAGATATCCGCGTGTGCGGCTCTTTGGTGACTTTGGAGATGAACGTATGCCAGATTTGACGACGCGAAGCGCGGTCCAGATCCGGGTAGTGGATGGAGAAGTGGATACGACCTAGAAAACACAGTCAGTTTCCACTCGAAAATAGTCCAACGAGTCGCACATACTTTCGAACGCTGGATCGCATTGTTCAATCAGGTTGGTGGTAAGGATGAGAATGCCTTGATAATACTCCAGCTGTCGTAGGAAGATAGACACCAGCGCGTTTCGCGTGACATCACCACGCGATCGCTGCTGGAGGAAAACCTCGGCTTCGTCCAACAAGAGAACGGCGTCCCAGGTCTGGGCGATCTCCAGGATCATCGTCAGTTTCGCGTCGAGCTCTTTGGGCTCAGTCCCGAGCTCCCCAGCGCTGACAGTGTACAACGGCCGCCGAGTCATCTCAGCGACCGCTTCTGCGGTGAGCGTCTTCCCGCAGCCCGGACTGCCAGAGAAGAGCCCGATCAGCCCCTTGCCCTTCCCGCGGACGATGTCATCGAAGGTCGCGCTGTGAGCTGAGTGGCTTTTGAAGAGCGAGTGAATGAGCATCTTCTGTTTGGCGCCGAGCACAAGTGACCGGAAGGCTTCGTCGGACCACATCACATCTCGTACCCGATCCATGGCAAATCCGCCTGACACGATCAGTACGGCGCGAGCAATGGGATAGAGAGGGCGCACCCCAGGTCTTGACCCCGAAACAAAAACCCAGCACGACAGGAGTACAGATCATCAGCTGCTCATCGGATAGTTCTTCCCGTTCGAGCTGCCGGTGAACCTCCAAGTTGTACGTGCAGTTGGGTTGGAAAAGTCGGAACGCTGCCGGATCGATCATGATACGCCCGTGGGTCTTCGTAAGCAGAATAAGTTAGAAGGAGGAATGTAAGACGGAGATGCCCCACTGACAGAAAACTTGAATTGCCTCGTCTCGTAGTTTTGATTGATCGTCTCCTTCATTGCGGGCCCGCTGATCTCGCGATACGGTGCAGACGAGATGTCGACGAGCCGCTTGCCTCGATCCAGAGCATGCGCGAGCATCTCTTCCTTGTTGGGGAGATAATCGACAGGACACGCTGGCAGGTCGCGGATCCGACGCGTCCCGCGGAAGGGGTCGATCTCAATCACATCCCGGGCCAACCCAAACGAGTCCCCGTCATTGTTGACGACGTCGCAGTCTATATGGGCATAGGGTGAATCGTCTCTGCGCCGGCGACGGTACTCGATGCTGCGCGCCAGCAACAATTGAGGTTGCTCAGTGAAGGAATGGAATCGGTAGATCAGAGTATTGGGAGGGTATATGACCCAGAGCAGGTCGTAAGAGATCTCGTTGTGAGCGAGCAGGTTCAAGTCGCCGAGAATCCCACTGTAGTCCTCGTCGATGAACTGGAAGACGGTTTCGATGTCCGTAATAAGGCCTTGGTCTGGTTCCGTCTTTTTCATTTCTTCAAGCATCCTCCCTCTTAGCTTCCCTCGCGTGTGGAAGAGCTCTCTCGCTTTAATCTCGAGAGAAGTGAGTATCAAACTGATTGATAGTGCGACAGACTTCGGCGTACAGTTGGGTTATTGCGAGTCAAAGACAGCCCTTCCGTGTCCACATTGAGATCCAGAATTGTTTGAAGAAGAATCGGGCTCCGGATATCGACCTCTGTGTGCGAGTACCGTCCTTTCTCATCGATGATTCGCCTCACGATCAACACAGACTTTTTGCTTGACCGTTTAACGGCTTTATTGGTTTTGCGTAAAGTCGTGGAAAATGTTCGTCTGAAGAGGCTCGAAGGATGTCCAACGTCATGCCCCACCACTCACAAGTCGAAGCTGCATTCGAGCCGGTTGGAAACATGCCTGTTGGAACAACTTTGCGGTACATACTATTGGTCATAACGAACAATCCTTGGATGGGAAACTGGCTGGGGGTCCTCTGACTCGGTCATAGTGAAGATCTGGGTTGTGTTGCAGGGTTCGACAGGAACTGATCATCGTTTTAAGAGTCTGGCGGCGGCCAGTCAAAGTCAAACGCGTCCCGAAGATCACGGAACAATCTCTACCCCACATCGCAATCACGACCACTGCCACGCACAGCAGCGCATAGCCATGTCACGCTGAAAATAATCTCCTGCTCTCTTGGTGACCCCCGGTCCCAGCCCATTTGCAGCATTTGTAATGACATCCTGTCCTCAGCGCCGTCTTGTGCTTGGTACCGTGGTTGGAAATATGATATAGGTTTTCGTGGCCCGCTCGAAGCCTTATGAAGCGCAGCATCTTTGCCGGAAGCACAAATTGGCTGGCTTATCAGCATCAGCCTGTTCAAGTTTCAATACATTGAGCAGACTTCGTATCAATCTTGGACGGGAACCCTCAATATAGCATCGCATTCCTACATCCTGCCTGTAACCCTCCCACTGAGTCCCCGTCTCCCTTTCTCTCTTACCCCTCAAGCGATGGATGCTCGGTCGACCTTCAAGCGCGCATGGGATAGCTACCTATCGAGCCTGCCGGAGAAGAAACGCAAACGAAAGTTCGTCCACGACTGCTGCCTTGGTGAAAACCCAGCCACTGCGGAAACCGTGAACCAAGCGATCATGGCTCTCGAGCAAAAGAGCGCCGATGGGCGAGGTAGAAGGGTGGCTAAGAAGATCCTGGGTCCCGTCGTGGCGGTTCTCCAAGACTACTCCGATATCATTTGCAACATGGGTACGCGCCTTCGTCGTGCTGTGTCTGAGCCTCAACTCAAGTTTCCAGCGTCCGCGGACCCTATGCCCACTGCGCTGATCTGGGGTGCTTTGAAAATCGCCATCGATGTGTGTCAGTCAGCCAAGTCATGGGCGCTCTGATTCGAAGCTGTTCAGGGCATCCATCGTTACTTCAATCTGTTCGAGACCATCAAGAAAGAGTTGCTGGTGCTGTCTGAACAGATTCGGCGGATCACTTTCTATGATGAGCTGTATGATCATTCTGACTTGCTTCAAGAGATCTTCTTCAGATCCTACCTGGATATGATCCGATTCTGGTCCCGTGTGCGTATGCTTGTTTCCCGGTGAATGCGTGTCCTGACCGCTCCCTCGTCAGGTTGATAAAGAGTGCGAAAGCTCTTGCAAGTGTTTGACCACAGGGCAGCGAATCGTCGCACTCATTGTTTCTAGGGTATGGGAGCCGTCTCCTCAAGGCTGCCACTTCCTTCAGCACTATTAAGCTGAACAGCATCATCGACGACATCAAGGACGACGCTGATCAGATCGAGAAAGTGGCCGACATCCTCGAAAGAACGCAAGGCAAAGCAGAGAGACAGGCCGCAGAGCTCGAGCGTTACCAACAAACTCGGGAGAGGCTCGAATCCAAACAGGAGCGAGAGGCGCAATCCACGTGGCGGGAACAGAACGAAGTGGACCGACAAGGTGAGTCTATCACTCTGTTTCCGATCAATGTCACGCCAACTCCGGTTCTAGGAGAACGATATCACAAGATATCTCAATGGCTATCCGCACGTTCTGGAGACGAGAACAATTCGACCCGCCTCCGCAATCTATCCAGTCTGCACCTTCGGGGCACTTGTGAATGGATCTTCGAGGATGAGACTTATCGGAAATGGGATGCTGGGGATATTAAGCCCTCTGTGCTGTGGGTCCACGCTCCACCTGCATCCGGCAAGTCCACCCTCTCGTCCTGCGTGATTCGTGCCATAAGTGGCGCGGCAGCCCCCATTGCCTATCACTTCTATCGATTCGACCAGGCGATGTCGGCCTCAGAAACGTTACGACTGCTGGCTAGCCAACTCTTCGATGCGTATTGGCAACTCAATCAGGTCGTTTCCGAAGAAATCTATCTCCGCACTCATCATAGTGTCTGCTCTCTCGATACCGTTCAGCAACTCATCACCGAACTAGTCAAAGCGCTGCCGACTTGTTACTTAGTTCTGGACGGCATGGACGAAGAGTGCTCTGATTTCATGCGGTGGGCCGAAGCTGCCACCACTGTCGAATTCCTGGCACAACTGGCGAATCAATATCCCCGAGTGCGGCTGTGGTGCAGCAGCCAATATCGCTCCATTCTCAACGAGCAGCTCAAGGCATACACTGTGCTTGATATCAAGGACGGCGTGACACGAGACGTGTCTTTATTTCTGTCTCGAGACAATCCCGAACTCATGGATCTCGAAGTCTCGGACTCCGACAAGGACGACGTGCTCAACAGTCTCAAAGCGCGCGCCGAGAGCAACTTTCTGTGGGCGAGTCTGATGGTCAAGAGCTTGAAGGCAGGTCCTTTTACGTCGGCGAGATATCCACTCTGATGCTTTGAGGACAGGAGACTAGTAGCTTGAGCCACTTGAAACAATTTGTCGCCGATGGCCTCGCGGATAACCTGGACGAGTACTATCGAAAGATCTTCAGTCGCTTCGAGAAACAGAACTGGTCTTTGGTCAGGTGTGTGTGTGAGCAACTAAACAATGGCGATCGGCTCCTGATGCGAGGACGTAGCAAAGTGTTTGCTTTGGTCGCCTTCGCGAGAAGACCGCTCCGGATGCTCGAGCTTCGGGAGGCTGTAGGTCTGCTCCAGAGCAAGAACCCCCTGGTACTTGAGCAAGATAGCCTTCCATTCACCAAGCACCTGCGCACTTTGCTTTCGCCGCTCATAGAGATGCAACCAGCCGGACACGAGGATGATCCTGACGACTACACTTGCCGTCTCTTCCATTCCACACTGCGCGATTTCTTGCTCCGGAATCCGACGATCCTGCAGCCTGTCGCAAACGACGCTAAGGATTTGGTCATCGACCAACGCGTTATCGCAAGGACATGCTTGATGTATCTCTTCCAAACTCGGTATACTCATTTGTTGAGAAAGACGGATGGGCACTGGGTCGATGCACAGGGCATTCCTGCACACCAACACCAGTTTCATCTCTACGCAGCCAAGTACTGGGACAAACACCTCTCGGAATGCAACAAGACAGAGGACCTGTCCCATCGCGTGAACAGGTTCATCACTTCGCCCAACTTTCTCACCTGCATCCAAGTGCAGAGCCTGTGGATCGATGCCCAGTTCGGTGTATTCTCTTATACGGCACAGAAAGATGACAGAGTCTATCTGCGCCGCATGTTTCCACGTTGGTTTGTCAATGACACTGCAGACGGCAAGAAGCTCTGGGAGGACCTCCGAGCGTTCGTGCATGAGTGGAGGTATTTCCTTTGCTCCTCACGACTGGAGGATTCGCAATCAGATACACTGCCATATGCGGGGGAGCTCGACAGATGCTGGTGGAATGTCTTGGGGCCACAGAATTTTCTGTCCCGAAACGACTGCAGATACGACACGTTTTCGTTCCAGTCGGACGACTCCCAGGGGCTCGCTTTCGGCAGTCACTTCTTCGAGGGGCTGAGCTCGGACGGAAACGAATTGTGCACGCTCCGGCTGGTGTATGTCGCGTTTCACCTGCATCGTCATCCAAAAACTCAAAGTTTGTGTCAGTTCTCGAAAACAGGCACAATACATCTACTATTGCGAGCAGTGGACTTACTCACTAGAGGGAACAACCAAAATTCGCAGTCAATACATCTCAACTAACGAAATCGACACGAATTCGCGGCTCTACAGCACACGGGATAGCAACAGTAGCAACGCGAGACCCGGCTCTGCGGCTCTTGTAGCCTTCTCTCCATCCAACGAGTTCCTTCGAATCGGCTCTCAGATCTTCAAGCGCGACGAGTTGGGAGACTACGCCCCGCTTGTGGGACTTTCGGCTCAGGCGCTCAAATACCCAGAGGCTCCGGAGGAGATGATCGCGCGGGACAACATCGTCGTCTTGGCTAGTAGGCGCGTGCCGGTGCATGTGGATCTTTACAGCACGGGTCTCTCAGATGAGAAGGTCGAAACCTTGAAGCCCTTCCTCGACAACGCGGTGAAGGCGGAACGGGAGGAGGATAGCGACTCTGACGGCGTCGAATTCGAGTTTTCGAGTTCAGAAGAGGACGAGGACGAAGCGTATGAGACGTGGTCAGAGGGCTCGACTGAAGAGTCTGATCGCTTCGCTGACGATATCATTTCGCCATGGGCCGGCCCACCGAGTGACCTTGATTCGGATGATGATCATTCATCTGCCTCGTCCGACTCCGAGAGCGTTGTGGGCAGTGAGGAGGAGGACGAGAGCAAGACTACGGAAAGCTCCGACGGAGAGATCGATCCGTCATCAATAGTCGGATATGGCTACCCACACAATGACGACCGAGACGGCTGGCAGAGCGAAGATTCAGACAGTGACGATTCGGGCAGTAACGATTCTGGGTATGCGCGGTATCCTCGACACCGCTTCGGTGCTCCCAAACCCCATCCGGATCTCAAAGCCACCCTCGACGTGTACGACTCTCGATCTTCTACCCGAGTTTTCCACTTCTCTCGACCTATTCCTTTTCTGTTGTATGATTCAGCGCCCGCTATTCATCCTTCGAAACCACTGGTTGTGTGGCCTCTCGGCGCCGGGGATGTTCTATTCGCCGATTACGCCGCAAATACCTTCTTCATCCGCAAGCTGCGTCCATCGACCTCCTTCAGTCAGTGTTGTGTCTTCATCTCGAGCCATTCATTCACTGAAACCCTAACAGCCCGGCATGTATTCATGAAGGCACACTTTTCACCATCGGGCGAACATCTCCACTTCGCGTCGCTCGAAGGACAACGCAAACCCTCGGACTCACACGGAAAGAACAAGAACGAGACTGTGCCCGTGCGGCTCGCGCTCCTGCTCTCGACATATCGTCTTTCAAAGAGGAAGACAACGACCAGTCCGCCGTCTCTCATTCATCGCGCTCGAGTCGAATTGGGCTCCTGCCTCAGCATCTCCGTGTCATTTTTACTGTACACTCTCACCTGGACACCCACCGAGCTCTACTTCACGCAAAGCTCCAATAAGCTGCGGGTCACGCGGCTCTCGCTGTTTCCGGTTGCAGAACACGTCGCAGCCCCAGTCGTCCGCAGGTGTCCGGTCCTGATACCCCGTAAACCCATTTTCCTGCCGGACAGCGCTCAGCGAAGGCGTGTATCATTTTTTCCACCATCCGACGGCTCCACGACAGCCAAGATCATCGTCGGGAGCGATAGTCGAGGCAGGGCCGCCCAAATCCTGCAACAACTGCGGAATCCTACTGCACCCGACGACCAAATCCCTGGGAAAGGGGACAAGAAATCGTCGGCCTCACTATACTCTGTCAAGCATTTGTTCAAGGGAATCCAGCCGGTAGGCTGTCTTGTCGACGAGGAAGCGGATCTAGGAGGATGGAGAACATGCCATAACTGTTGCGACCTTCCGGACGACCTGGGGATCGCGCATCTAGACGACAGATTGGAGCGATTCGACCCGAATGATGATTGCGACTGTGAGTGGTTTTTTCAGACTATCGAAACCAAGTAACTTGAATGCATGCAGTGGAGCCGTACATCGAATGAGCTACGGTTATAACGACGCAAGTTGTCTTGTAGAGCGGGAAATGACTTTGTTTGTGGATCAATCAGTTTCGGCAGGTTCCCAATCCTCGATCCAGTCTTTGATAGCGGCAAGACCAGCCTTCTGGACAGCGAGAACACTGGGGTTGGCAGCAGCCTCGGCGGTGGCTTCCAAGTACAATTAGCACACAATTCGTGGGGACAGAATCGCCCAGACGCACAGAGATCCCCGCAGTGGAACCCTTCTCCAATCGCAATGGTCAGCTCAGATGTGCTCTTCTTTGTCACACCTGGCGCAGAAAGCGTGGCATATCGCCAGGGATCACGTTTCCCGTTGGCGAGGAAAAGATTCGAGACGGAGACGTTCCAGCCAGCGTACAAGCTGTTGGTTTGCGCGGTTTTTACCGATTGAGCTGTGGGGATAGTGGGGAACGCCTCGGGGAACATCAACTGACATTGCCGCTGAGAGATTGTTAGGATATTGTCTAGGCAGGTGCAGAAAGTGGCTCGCACCAGGTCGTAAGCGGGCTGTATCAGCCTCGAGACCATAGAAGGCGTTCCTTTAGGCGAAGCATCCTGAGAAGATTGTCAGACATGGCACTATCAGTTTGGTTGATTCGCACCTGGAAGAAGCCAACTTCATTGCAGCTTCAATAAAATCAGAACCGGGAACCGGGAAGAGAACGTAACCAACACAATCCATTGCCCTGAAGATTGGTCAGATGTGTTTCAGAGATGTCCTGAGCTACCACATACATGATCTACCAGCATTGTCGATCGTGATGTCGGTGTAGTACGGTTGCGTCGGGTTATAGGTATCAAAACAGTCTCTGCAAACCAGTCAGTCAGTAATTTAATCGCGCACGGACACTTACACAGCGGTGGCGTTACCACAGACTGATAAAGGGGTTAAACGAGACGGAAGGGGAAGGAACGAGCAATCTCACTCAGTGCATAGTAGGTCTGGTTCCAGTACTGACCCCACGCATTAAGGGCATGTTTCGCACCCCAACCCGCTGCGGGAGCGTTCACTCCGTTCTTCACTTCCAGCGCATCACAGAACTCAAAGAACCGGCCGCCGGCGCCACCACGCAGCGACAAGGCCTGCCAATCCCAAAAGTGGTTGCGCAGCGCACTAACAAGATCGTCCAGGTGTGTCATTGCGCCCATGCCGAACGTGTTCTTGATGGCCTGGATAGCCGTGGTGTTGCTGCCGGTGAATACCTTGTCGATGTGGGAAATGGCAGCCACAATATCCGCGGAGCAATTGGGTGCCATGTACTGACGCGAGGGCTCGAAATACTGCCAAAAGTCGAAGATCGTCTGCACTGTAGCACTCGATCCGTAGCCAGCAGCGAAGAGGCCGGGTTTGTTGACCATGGTATAGCTGGTCAGGGCACCAGAGTAGCTCCCTCCAACGAGAATCCAAGGCGTCGTCGAGGGCTTGAGGTTTCCTCCGTTGGGCATGGGCAGCACCACGTTCTCGGCAAAGTATTTGAGATCCTCGATTGCTTGCTGAATCGTGTGCAGACGAAGACTTGCGACGCTCAAATCCGGCAGCGGGTTGCTGCGAGATCACTCAGAAGCGTGTAGGAAACCAAGACGCTCATTCCGCACCTCAAACCATAGAATCGATGTTCCAACACAATCGCCGCGCCGTTCTCTTGCTGAGCGATCTGACCATTGATTGTCCCATTGGTCAGATAACCAAGATAAGCTGCCGGGAGTGAGATGACGTGGAATCGTCGAGGATCCCAGAGGCTCACGAGACGCGTTTATTTCTCCAGGCGTAAAGAAGATGATAGGCCCGCCTACGGCGTTTCAATCGGGATATCGCACATGTGGAGTGCCTGAATTCAAGCTTACCTGGCTCATAAAACTCGTAGGTGTGCCAGTAGCGCTGGCTGAACGTCCCGAGAGACGACTGAAAAGAGTATGGTCAGGAAAGTAGACATCCGACACCGGGTTACCGCGCACATTGTTGTGATCGATCAGCTGCTGGAAAGTGTAGGTCGTGCTGTACGGTGGCAAAACGGTCCCGTTCTGGCTCACGACCGGTCCCATGTTGTGAACGGGCGGGATCGGGACGATAGGTTTGCGGCGGAAGTTGGCATTGCCGGGCCTGGAAGCGCCTTCGCCACACGACGCGCACAGGAGCAGAGCCGCCGCGACGAGTTGAGCAAAGCTGAGCATGTTGCAAGTGATTGCTTGAGGCCTCTCATTCCAGTTTCTCTCAGCTTTATAGCCTCGCGCTTCAAGAAGGTCCGTGATCTTCCCCGCCCGGTAGCACAAGCGAGGGAGAAAATCATCAGCCAAAATAGCGAGAACGGCCTCGCTAGCAGAGGTGACGCGTTCTCAGAACCAATCTTCCTGATATCGAATATGCGAAGTTCGAGTCAGGCGAGCGGTTGAGGTCGAGAGCTGAGCTGTAGTGGTAGGATGGCCGCTGGTACCCGAAAGCGCGATTATATACCAAATGAGACAAACGAGCGCTGCGCTTGATGTTGAGCGTTACCTAAGCTGACTTGCTCATCCCAATTCGGCGAAAACGGTCTTCCGTACGAAGATCTACGAGGCGCCAGGAATTGTGAAAGATTACGCCAGCACCCACATCAAGTCACCGGGTCTTTACACATGACACTTGTACGTTGGGGCATGCTCTACCATGCCTAACCGTCCATTGGCGCATGTGGAGATCTATGCAGTATGCGAAAGGAAGCCAACAGCGAGTCTGGATGCATACCCTGGTTGGATTCTGGGCTAAAGGATTTCAAGGTCATGTTCCGGCCCTGCATGTATTCTCTTCTTTTTACTCACCAAGTCGTGTCTCCTGTGCAATCTGCCGTAATGCACGGAAGAATCCTCCCAATGTACAAGTGGGATTGCGGCAGGTCGGCTCGGCAGACTGCGGCGGCTGCACGTGTTTGATTGATGTTATTATGTAGCTATGGTGGGGGACATGACTTCGTGACAAGTGATCACATCAAAGCTTGCCACCCATCCACCCATCCATCGTCACCATAGATTTTCTTGAAAACTTCAGAATACGTAGCTATTGAAGTGTACTTTCGATTTCATGGAACAGAATTTTGAAATTATGAGGTGCACTTTTTTCGGCCAGATTTGGCCGTTACAAAAAAGGAAACTCGGTGATCGCTGTGCTTGGCAGCGTCCGGTATCTCCCAGCACTCTTCCCACACCCATGGGACACAAAAAAAAGCATCCCCCTCGCGCTCGCAATGCATCCGGCCATTTTGTACGCCAAAATACACCTGTGGCAGTGTCTTCGGATCCTGGGGAGGAATCGGAATGGGAGCACATGTCGGATCACGACAGGTCGGATGATGAGGACTTTGAGATGTCGGATGAGGAGTCGGATTTGGGCTCAAAGGATGGGGATGCAGTGGAAGATGATGATTCACTGTCAGATTCCGGTGATGAACTCGACAACATTGCGATCCCGAGTGTCTGGCTCGAGCTGGCAGATCTGCTGACGGGTGACGGCATGCCATCTCAGATTATCACGGTCAACTCCGTTCTGGGAGCGGAAAAGGTCTTCGATGGGCCCAGAGATCGCGAAGCCAAGCTTGGGGTGAAGCGAGGTCTGTACGGAATTGGCGGTGACTCCGAGAAGACGCTTCGCACCAGACGACGACGGGTGGAGGAAGCGTTTGAAAGGGGGACCATCACGTCGAGTCAGCGGCAAGTTCAGCTGCAAGGCATCAGCATGAATGCAGCGCCAAAGACCAAGGCTGACAAGAAACTGACGTCGTTCTTCCAGCGACTCAAACCTCATCCCCGAGTTCCACTCCCCACCCGGTCCCCTTCTCCTGGCATGCCAGCCAGTGTCGACTCCGAAGCCGACACTGGACATGTCATCTCTGTTCCGATCCTGCGCCCAACTGTCGAAGACGAGGACAACATCCCTTCCAGTCGGCCTGGGGGAACGCTGCCCATTCGTGCTGGTGTTCCAATTGTCGCCCTTGCGACTGAGTTCGATGATCGAGGAAATGTGCTCCCACAGTACACCGATGGCGATGATCCGGAAATGAATACGGAAACAACCAGTGCGGACTTGGACTCTGTCAACAATGTCGATGATGCTGCTGATTGGATCGACGGAGTTCTTGGTGAGGAGGAGGAACAAACGGACCTGGTGCTGCAGCTTCTGTGTGCGGAGAGCCTGAAGATGGCACGCAAAGCAAAGAACTATCGGGCAGAGGTTGTCTGGGCCACTCTGGTGAGCTTCTACAGCTGGAAGGGAAGGTTGGGACGCGGAAAGACATCGCTGCGGTGTGCCAAGACACTTGGCCGTGGTCCTGCATTTGCCCGCGTTATCTGCGGTCAAGCCAGACATGTCGAAGCAACGGGGGCACTGAAGGTGTTCCGCCAAGGAAAGCGGAAGAATAAGTCAGGACACCTCATGGACGAGGGATTCTCGCTCGGCATGCAGCGGTGGCTTCGGACCAGAGGAACAGGCCAGGTAAGTGGATCGTTCCCGCAGGACATGAACTCAACAGCTGGATCGGGCAGGTCACACCACAACTTCTTCGTGATCATGTCAACACCACACTCTTACCGTCACTCATGGAGAGCAAGAAGACATCCATATCGACTCGTCAAGCATGTCGATGGCTATATATCTTAGGCTACCGTCGAAAGCAGCATCAGAAAGGGGTGTACTGGGACGGCCATGAGCGCACGGATGTGCGTAAACACAGGAAGTGATTCATCCAGGAAGTCCGAGCTGTCGATAGGTCAGTAGTATTGTCACCCATTACATCCATGTATCTTCTAATTCTTCACAGGTTTATTCCGCTCTATGATGGACCGGAGATGGCAGAAACAACAACAGCAGAGCGCGATGCTCAAGGGAAGGAGCACGTGTTTATCTATCAAGACGAGTCAGCCTTCCACGCCAACGATTTCCAGAATGTCTCGTATTACCTGCTGCCAGGAGAGCAAGTGCTGAAGAAGAAGGAACAAGGTAGACTGATCATGGCCTCGCGTTACATCTGCGAGCGATATGGCAACATCGCACTCACAGAGACACTGATCAAAGAGAACGAGAAACTGCCTGCTGATCAGCGTTTGGAGGTCGTTGACTCATCTGTGGTGATCTGTCCGAACAACAAGGCTACAGGCGATAATTACTGGAATATGGATCAGATGATAGCGCAGGTACGTCTCTCAAGGTAGTGCACACCAGGACTGATCACGTTCAGCTCCATAATGCCATCAAGATTGCAAAACGTCTGTATCCGAATGCTCAACTCCACTGGGTCTTCGACAATTCATCGTGTCACGGCAGCCTACCTCACGATGCGATTGCGGTAACAAAGATGAACGTCGGGCCCGGAGGACGGGTTGATGACATGCACAACACAATCATTCCCTTGTCGAATCCACATGGGAAGGGTGGCACCGTGCAGTCGATGCAGTTCCCGGTGAATCTTCCAGATGACCACCCAGACAAGGCCCATGCAGGGAAGGCCAAGGGGATGCGGCGGATTTTGGAAGAGCGAGGTTACAACACTCAGAAACTGATTGGGCAGTGCAAGCAGTGCAAGCAGGAACACACACGGAAGCCAAACTTGACCGGCCTTTCACCCGATGACATTCAGCTTGCTGAAGGGGACGACGGAAACGACTCGGAAGAAGATGAGGAGCAACCAGTCAACTGCTGTCTTCGGCGTCTCCTCGAGAACGAAGAGGACATCAAGAACCAGACGTCACAGCTGCAGGAGGTGTGTTTTCAAGCGCTCATCACCTTTCCTGTTGTTCTTTAGCTGACGGTCTTCTCAGATTATCGAAACAGAAGGTGGCATCTGCCACTTCCTTCCGAAGTTTCACCCAGAGCTCAATCCGATTGAGTATTACTGGGGCTGGGTGAAGCGCTACTTCCGAGAACGCAGCACCGGAAACTTCAACAAGGCGAGGTTATTGATTGACGAAGCACTCGAGGCCTGCCCCCTGTCGACAATTAGATGATTCTTCCGGCGCTCGCTGCGATATCTAAGTGTCTACGAGCAGGGTGCGACAGGTTATCTGGCGGAATTTGCAGTGAAACGGTACTCCTCTCACCACAGCGTGCCGCAAAAAGATCTCGAGGACGCACAGAAGGCCTGGGAGGCCAGAGAGGAGAAATATCGCGTTAAAATGCTCAATAAATAGACCGTAGCTACCAACAATACCACCTGCGGCCCATCCCAGCTCAGTCAAATGTCGAGTCTCGGTCATCGATTTGGCCATTTAGCCGAGACATACTTTCCCACGGTCTAAAATTGCGGATTTGACCCACTCTTGTATATTTCAAGCTGACTTATCTACTTTTAAGCTCAAAATACGCAAAATTGCGGTGTGACATGAAGTCATGTCCCCCACCATAGCGAGAGTGGCTATAGGTTTCTTTCCGCAATGGAGACTATTACAGTGTAGTGCAATTGTGTGGATGGCAAATTCGAGCTCTCCGGTGTACATGAATGTCGCGATGTAAGTTGGTGACACAAAAAATATGGGATGATAGTAGAGTCCCTCGGGATGATAGTAGAGTCCCTCGAGATGTCAAGTACAGTACCAAAATTTAAGCAATAGAATTCCTGTCTATTACAATCCATAGCTCCATGTCACCAGTCACTGCCAGCCGGAATCCTCAAAAGAGGTAGTTCTTTGCAAGAACATGCTAAATGTGCTGATTTCAATCCTTCCACTTTCCATGAAGCAGTAGGACCTCATTTTCCTGCTTTTCGAATCTGACTGACCATTGCATCCAAGGTTTTGTAATCGAAGTCTCTGTTATGCCAATGCATATGCGAAGGGCAAGAATGGGCGGGTGGCTGCTTATGCCACTAAGCAATATTGTGGTCACTGATCCATTCCAACGGAATAATTGAAGGATTTGGAGGCCTTCAGGGAGCTGCACAACATGTAGAAACTGCCATTTCTTCCATATTTTCAATGTATTTTGATGTCTCTGTGGACAGTTCGGTCATTAATGCTTCAAAAATCAATTTTTAGACATTTCTGGTGTATATGAAGAGACTGCCGCAAGCCGATCTGAAGTCCGAGCACAGATGCTTTCGAACGAGCGCAATCTATTTCCCATCATTATGTATCAGGCAATCGGTCACAAGTGACAGCACCGCCACAGACATTGGTTGGTCATGAATGAGCCCTATCTAGGCTTAACACATGGCCAAATAAGCAGTTCAACCGGATTTCGATCTCGAACCATTCTGGACTTGGGGCCTCTCAGCGATCTAAAACGGACAAAAGAATCATAGTATGAAGTGCAGGACGGACAACAGCGTAATGGAACTATAGCAGCATGCCATGGGTTACAATTCAGAAAGAGGTGAGTTGTCTTATGGACAGGGAAAGACTTTGTTCGATGATTCAATCGGTCTCACTAGGCTCCCAGTCCTCGATCCAGTCTTTGATGGCGGCAAGACCAGCCTTCTGGACAGCACGAACACTGGGGTTGGCGACGGCCTCGGCGGTGGCTTGCGATTATAATTAATCAGTACGAGTCAGTCAGACAGAATAAGCCACACGCACAAAGATCCCCGCAGTGGAATCCTTCTCCCATCACGATAGGCAGCTTAGATGTGCTCTTCTTATTCAAACCAGGCGCAGACACCGTCGCATACAACCAGGGATCACGTTTTCCGTTTGCAAGGAATAGATTCGAGACGGAGACGTTCCAGCCAGCATACAGGCTGTTAGTTTGCGCCGTTTTGACCGATTGAGCCGTGGGGATAGTGGGGAACGCCTCTGGGAACATCAATTGGCATTGCCGCTGAGAGAGTGTCAAGCGATCGTCCTAGAAGGTGCAGAAGGTGACTCTCACCAGGTCGTAAGCGGGCTGTATCAGCCTTGATACTGTAGAAGGCACTCCTGTGGGCGAAGCGTCCTGACAACACAGTCAGAGAAGTCATCATCAACTCGGTGATCCGCACCTGGAAGAAGCCAACTTCATTACAGCTTCAAAGGAAGTTGAGAGATCAAAGAATGCATAACAAGAAGAAGAAACCAACACGATCCAGAGCCCTGAATCATGATCAGATGCGTTTCAGAAGAGTCCAAAGCAAAGCCATCACGTACAAGACCTCACTTCGTTGTCAATCGCAGTACTGGTGTAGTAGGGTACTGACGCATTGTACGAATCGAAACATTCTCTGCAACGGGTCAGCCGGGAAAACCGAACACATGCAAAAACCTACACAGCATTTGCAGTACCACAGACTAACGAAAGGGTAAACGAGACGGCAAAGGGGAAAATTCGATCTTACTCTGCGCGTAGTAAGTCTGGTTCCAGAACTGGCCCCATGCGTTGAGGGCGTGGTCCACGCCCCAGCCTGTTGCAGGGGCGTTCACTCCGTTTTTGACTTCGAGCGCATCACAGAACTGGAAGAAGCGGCCACCGGCGCCGCCACGCAACGACAAAGCCTGCCAATCCCACATATTGTTGCGCAGCGCGCCAGCAATATCGTCCAGATGCGTTATCGCGCCGAAGCCAAACACGTTCTTAATGGCCTGGATAGCTGTGGTGTTGCTGCCGGTGAAAACCTGGTCGATGTGGGAAATGACGGCAATAAGATCCGCAGAGCAATTAGGCGCCATGTACTGACGGGCGGGCTCGTAGTACTGCCAGAAGTCGAGGATCGTCTGAACGGTTGCGCTTGATCCATAGCCAGCAGCAAAGAGACCGGGTTTGTTGACCATAGTGTAGCTGGTTAGGGCACCAGAGTAACTACCGCCAACGAGAATCCAAGGCGTCGTCGACGGTTTGAGATTGCCGCCATTAGGCATGGGCAGCACCACGTTCTCGGCAAAGTATTTGAGATCCTCGACAGCCTGCTGAATGGTGTGCAAGCGGAGACTGGTGACGCTCAAATCCGGAAGGGGGTTACTGCCGCACCATCAAAAGACGATTAGGAGACCAAAATCTGCACACAGTACCTCAAACCATAGAATCGATGCTCTAACACGATCGCCGCTCCGTTCTCTTGCTGAGCGATCTGACCGTTAATCGATCCGTTGGTCAGATATTTCTGATAGGCTGATCGCTAGAGGTGAAATCATTTTATATTGGCGAAGGTCTGGAGGGGCTCACAATCCGCGTTTGTTTCTCCAGGTGTGAAGAAAATGATCGGTCCACCTGATGCTCCCATCAGGTTGCAGAAAATGAACATAAAAACTCGAACTTGCCCGGCTTATAGAACTCATAAGTGTGCCAGTAGCGCTGAGTGAAAGTCCCGAGAGACGGCTGGAGACAAAGTCGTCAGGGACGTAGACAACACACGGTGGCCTACCACGCACATTGTTATGATCGATGATCTGCTGGAAAGTATAGGTCGTGTTATACGGTGGCAAAACGGTACCGTTCCGGCTTATGACCGGTCCTGTATCTTCCAACGGCAAAACAGGGATGAGCGGCTTGCGGGGGAAGTTGGCCTTGCCACCCATCGCGCCATGGGACCCGCACAGAAGCAGAACTGCCGCGACAAGTCGAGCAAGGTTGAGCATCTTCGAGTTCTCGTCTTGGATTCCACATTCAAGTTCGTCTCAGCTTTATAGCTACGCGCTCTAGAGATTCCGTGATCGTTTTTTCTTGGTGGCACAAACGAGAGAGGAAATAATGCGCCAGACTGGCGAGACAAGGCCTCGGTAGAGGAGATGACGCATTCTCGGTACCAATCATCTTGATATCAAGCATGCGATGTTCTCGTCAGGCGAGCGGCTGAGTTCCAGAACTGAGCTATAGCGTTACGAAGGCCGATACTGCCCGAAGGAACGAATGTGGACCAGAATGAAAGTGACGAGCGCCCACACACTGGTCGTTGAGGATTACCTAAGCTAAAGTACCGCGCCACCTTCCCACAAACACCGTGACCCATCTTTCTCCAATTTTCCTCAATTGAATTTAAACAATGCCAGAAACGTAGAAAAAAGAACGTCAGCGCGCATGCTGCGTCATTTCCTTTGCCATGCTTACCCTGGATCATGCCTCATCGTCCAATTCACGCATGTGAAAATACACACTGCTCGAAGCAGGGAATCACCCCCATCCTGAATTCGCTATACGAATCTACCACGCTGTCCGTGTTAAATCACGGAAACGTACCCGGGATATGGGTTAAAGGCCTTTTTTTCACTCGCCGAGTCGAGCATCCTGCCGTCACCCTCAGTACATGCTCACACCACGGCCAATTGCCCGAGAAGTGTAACAATCTTACAGAACGCTTCGTCTTGCGGATAGCAAAATCCACCGCGGAACAGAAGTGCATTTTGAAGGATCTGCAATCCGTTCAATCTCTGGCCGCCATGGAAGTGATTATCGCTGGGTTCAGCGAGGAACAGAATCTAGAGTCAAAGTCTCATGAACGACTGGAGGCTTGCTCTTCTCGAATAGGCTTGTGCCGTCAATTATTCAGACGGGAGGTTCCACCTGACTTTTGCCCAGGCGCAAAGACGACAAACCACCAGATCCACGGTCCACACACTTGGAGGATAACGTGAGCTGTCTGATCAGTGTCAGACAGTCTGACGGAATTCCAATGGACGCTTCGGCTCGGGACTCATGGAGCAGCTCAGCAACAGGGAACGGAGAAGTCTTGCGCCGGTGGTTCGGAGAGAACCTATGCAAAGCGAATGCTTCATCATACCGAATATCGCCGCCGAACGCACGTTATGTATTGAGCTCGGGCATGGCTTGCTCCTCATGGGAGACGCGTAATCATTGGGCCGACAGAGCTCTTTAAAACCCATCCGCTGAGACAGGGAAGGGAGAAAGATTACATTCGATTGGGTCTGGGCTGGTGGCCCCAGGTTCGGGACTCGATTGCTCCAGCGCGGTGACCTGAGCGGATGAGACTGTAACTTAGCGTGAGCGGTACTAAGACGGTTTCCAAGGTCTGGGATCACGACGTTGCAGGTACATTGCCGAATTCAGAAAACACTGAGAGGATCTGCGACAGAAGCCAATTCTGGAGCTGGAGGGGATACTTCGATGTTGATATCGATAGTCTACGGGCTGTGGTGAGAGCAGCAGAATCCGAAGGTGTGAGCTTCCATTATCAGACCTGGATCGTGTTCTCGTCGAAGCCTCTTGTCAAGATGACAACGAAAAGCAGGGCTCCATGACAGCCACAAGCACAGACGACGATTGTACCCGCGCACGACCTTGATCGATGGAGCCTTACATACAATGGACTATTGGACTATGATTAGAACGACGTTGGTTGCCTAAACCATCCCTGTATCGGCTTTGAAAGAGTTTCCGGATCGCTTCGTTTCACATTCACCGGTTTCCAAGCTGCAATCCAGCCTTTGATGGAAGCAAGGCCAGCCTTTTGAACAGCAAGAACGCTGGGATTGGCCGCAGCTTCAGCGGTGGCTTCGAAGAGCGATCAGTACCAGAGATATCTGCTTCAACGAGGGACGGCGCACAAAGATCTCCGCAATGGAACCCTTGACCGACGACGATAGGCTGTTCTGGTGTGCTCTTGGTCGTTACACCTGGTGCCGACAGTGTCGCATATCGCCAGGGATCCCGTTCTCCGTTTGCGAGGAAAAGATGCGGGACAGACACGTTCCAGCCCGCGTACACGCGGTTCGTCTGGGCCGTTGGAATGTTCGGAGGGCTGGGGAAAGCTTCGGGGAACATCAACTGGCATTGGCGCTGAAGCAGAGTTGGATCGAAGTCAAATCGACCAGAAAGTTGCCGCTCACGAGGTCGTAGCCGGGCTGGATCAACCTAGATACCAAGGAAGGCTTTCCCAATGGTGACGCTTCCTAGCGGCAAGATTAGCGTCTGTAAGAGAGGAGTGCTCGTTGAGTCGCACCTGGAAAAATCCAACTTCATTGCAGCTTCCAGTTGATTAGAAACATGAGACATAAGAGTAACCGAAGCACCAACACAATCCAGAACCCTGAGGACACAGTCAAATGAGTGAGATTGGGATGCAAAGAAATACAACGCACATGACCTCCCCGAGTTATCGATCGCAGTAGTTGTATAGTAAGTTGCGTTCGCATCATATGTTCCAAGACAGTCTCTGTGATAATTCAAGCATGAATCATCGCCAACAGACAAACACCTACACAGCACTCGATCCCCCACAGACTAGTGAAAGTCTCAGACGGGAAAGAAAGTGTAGCATGACGGACTTACTCGCTGGGAAATAAGTTTGCGTCCAAAACTGACCCCAGGCAGCAAGGGCATGATCCACGCCCCAGCCACGGGCAGGGGCACTGACTCCGTTCTTGACCTCCAGTGCATCACAGAACTGGAAGAACTGGCCGCCAGCGCCTCCGCTGAGAGACAAAGCCTGCCAATCCCACAGATTATTGCGCAGCGCACCGGCGACATCATCCAGGTGCGTCATCGAACCCATCCCAAACATGTTTTTGATAGACTGGATAGCACGGGAATTCCCACTGGTGAACACCTGGTCGATATGGGAAATGACTGCCTCGACGTCCGCGGAGCAGTTGGGTGCCATGAAGAGACGTTCAGGCTCAAAGTACTGCCAGAAGTCCAGTATCGTCTGCACCGTGGCACTGGATCCATAGCCAGCAGCGAAGAGACCGGGTTTGTTAACCATGGTGTAACTGGTGAGGGCACCAGAGTAGCTCCCACCAACGAGAATCCAAGGCGTCGTCGAGGGTTTGAGGTTCCCTCCGTTAGGCATGGGCAGCACCACATTTTCCGAAAAGTACTTGAGATCCTCGATCGCCTGCTGGATTGTGTGCAAGCGAAGGCTTGCGACGCTCAAGTCCGGAAGCGGATTGCTGCAGGTGACATCAGTCAAAATAACCAGTCACAGCCAAGTTTAGCTCACCTCAGACCATAGAACCGATGCTCCAGGACGATTGCCGCGCCGTTCTCCTGCTGCGCAATTTGACCGTTGATAGTCCGATTGGTCAGATAGCCAGAATAGGCTGATGGGATAATTTAGGTTATGATAGGTGAAATGGAGCGTGGACGACTCACGAGCTGCGTTCGCTTCCCCGGGAGTGAAGAAGATGATCGGGCCGCCTGGCGTCGTGATAAGTGCAAGGTATACGAAGACCAGACGAGAGCTGACCAGGCTCATAAAACTCATAGGTGTGCCAGTAACGCTGAGTGAAGGTCCCAAGCGACGGCTGGAAAGAAACTGAGCGAGAGTGCGGATCATAGGAGATGTAGACGCACATTGTTATGGTCGATCAGCTGCTGGAAAGAGTATGTCGTTGTGTACGGCGGCAGAGCGGTCCCGTTCCGACTTGTCACCGGTCCAATGTCGTGCATGGATGGTATCGGAATTACAGGCTTGCGCGGGAAGTTGGCATTGCCGGGGCCGATAGCACTCGCGCCATGCGACGCGCACAGGACGAGAACGGCGAGTAGAGCAAAGTCGAACATCTTCTCTCCCTGAAACCATCATACAAATCCCACACCCAGCTTTATATTAACGCGTCCGGAGAAAATCAATGATCGTTTTCAACGGCCGCGCAAACGGGTGAGGAGATAACATCCACAGACGCATCGAAAGAAGTGAGATGACGCGTTCTAACCAATTATCATGATACCAACCATGCGGCTCGCAGTCAGGCGAGCGCTTGATGGTGAGATCGGCAGCTATGATAGTACCAGGAAGCCCGACGGAGTGCGAAGAGATGGATAAGAGGAAGCAACGCAAATCCCCATCGGTGCCAAGTATTAGCTAAGCTGTGCGCCGACCGGGCCGCAAGTTACTTGCTGCTCTCAACTACCATCACTGCGAGCCACGGAAATCTAAGAAAGTCACAATCTAGACCAGTACCCATACCGCGTCCTTCCCCTCGCCATCTAGACGCTGGACCACACCCTCACCCTCCAATTTGCGCATGTGGAGATCAATGCCGCGTGAAGCAGGAAGCCACAACGACTCCGGATAAGCTGCATAGATCTGCGCTACAATTGACCACGTCGTCGACGGTGTGTTATCCCCAGGTCTTGCTCCGATGATGCCCAGAATCTGAGCTTCTCTGTCCATCCGGTGCTTAATATACGTTTCGATGACTTTCGGTCCATCGTAAATGACGGGTCCATGCCCGGGATACAGAGTGAACGCCTTCCTCTCGTTCACGTAGTCCAGCATCCTGCGCAGACTCCCGATATACGTCGCAAGATCCTCGAATACTGCGGTCCCTTGTCCGAGAACGGTATCAGCCGTGTAGAACGCTCCGTCCTGAGGGAAGTAGAGACACATGGAATCGACCGTGTGTCCCGGAGTGTGAAGCACATGCAATCCTGACAGCACGTCCCCGTCACGTAGATCGTGAAAGTGGCTGCCATCGGGCGCGGTTACGAGCGAATTCGGGGGCAAAGATGAGAGGATCGCTGGAAGCTTGCTGTACTGGGGGCATGTTTGAGTCGGAAATTTGTGAAGACGCGGTGGTTTGAAAGAGAGAGTGTCATGACGTTCGTGCCAGAGGCGTTCGAGGAGGGCGAGAACCTTTGGAAGGCCGCCGACATGATCCTCGTGCCAATGGGAGATTATAATGTCGGAGATATCAGGCTCGGAGGACTCGGAGGTTCCGGCCCTTCTGATGATAGCTTCAAGCAGAGCGGTATATTCATCTCGCCCCTCGCCGACATCGAGCAGTATGAACGGACGTTGCTTTCCCACGAGATATGTATTTGTCCCTGGGCTGTTTATCGGACCAGAGGGTTTGCACTGAGCTGGGCCATCATACCCTGCAATGTGAATTTCCCCGGGTTCTGTATTGCTTCAGATTCTGATGTTGTAGAGAAACGAACCGAATCGTATCAATTACCTGGGCCAAGATTCTGGTGACGCTCTCACTGAGCTGTGCCGTGGTTAGTCTCGACTCTGCACAAGGGCAAGACCCACCTTTGTAACAGGAGCCAAGACTTGCAGCTTGTCCATGGTAGTCCGGTAACAAGGACGAGGAGAAGCCGGCAATTGAATCAGCTGGGCTCAGTTGTATATCACAGGCTATCGATTACAGACATTTTCAGTGGAACATCAAATTCAAAGTCGATGACAGATGCTCATAAATAGTTTGGAAAGTAAGTATATGCATAAGTAACACAACGTCTACTGCGGTACGCATGATCCCCGGGTTCCGAGTATTATACATGTCAAGATAACGATAGACGGGCCGGATTCGGTCTACACCCATTCGTAGTCTAACAAGAGAACGCCTTCCCTTCGAACTGTCCAAACGGTGTGAAGATACCCGCTTGGACACGAGGCTTGCGCAACAAGTCAGTCACAGAGAATTGGAAGCTCTTGCGGCGATGGATCCGAGTGAATCTATGCAGGGTAAATGCGCGCTCGCACCGGTGATGAACTCGAAAACAGACTTCGCGTACTGAGTCTTGTGATGTTTTTTGCGTGAGAGGCGTGGAAAGATTTCAAGCGACAGAGCTTTGGATTTGATGGAAGAAATGCGAATGGTGCTCGTAGGAAATACGGAACAAGAGCCATTGGGCAGAATTGGGGAAGAAGACAGAATCGAAGCATCAGTTTGCGGTGGAGTGCTTGACATGGGAACGGGCTCGGGGCCAGATGGGGATGGCACAGTGAGTTGGGCAGATGGCATTTTGTCTTGAGGAGAGCAAGAATGCAAACGGGTGCGCTTTGACGGTCTAGGGTCAAGATCAATGAGAGATTGGTCGTGGAACTCTGAGTCCAGAGAACGCTTGAGAGGATTTGCGGCTGGAGCAAGTTTGGGAGATAGAGGGAATGCTTCGATCATACGCATAGGTTTTGACTGCGTGGAGGCCGAGGAATGCGAGGGTGAGCCCTCCGAAAGAGACCGGATCTTCTCCTCCTCAAAGCGTTCTGAGAAATTTCAGTGGAAAACACCCATGAGTGCTGAAGTTGACAGACGCACCATCGAGTATGTACTTGGACACTGGAGCTTCTAGCCCTTCCTCCGCTGATACCGAAATCCAGCTCGGATGCCGAATCTGATCTCATGAGTCACACGCAAGATATGGATCAGCAAGAACGAGAACGAACCATCAAGCCCATTGCTTTCAGCCTGGCAGAAAGTCTGCTTCAGTCATTTACTTTCTTGATTTAAACTCACTGTGCAAACCACACGTCTTCCAATCCTGTACAGAAGAAGTATCGAGCGTGGAAGAATTCGGCGCTGTTCTTAGCGATGGCACCCCCGTGCTTCACTGGAGCGAGGTTAAGAGTATCTCACGGTGGTGAGGTTACGACGCACCCCAGATTGACCGCAGAGTCCCACGGACGTCCGGGCTAAACACAGCTAGACATGGTTTTGGTGGGAAGGAGTCCGCGAGTGGAGAGAAACCCAACCTATACCCTCGAAAAGCATTCGGATCGACATGGGAGACTCGGAGGGAATGACCGTGCGAATACTTCGCGTCGGACTGGTAGAACTCGCGACGATATTGATCCGGAAAGCTTGGGGAGGACGGACCGACGTGGACGCTGATAACGGTCAGCTGACCAGCGATCGGGGTTTCGGTCCTCGATTGATCCGCCCCAACACCTCACGAGTCGCAACCGTAAACGTTCGCGATTATACTTGCTTCTCCGACTGCCATGACGAGCCCAACTATTTCTCAATCTAGGGAAAACACGATGGCCCTTGCTCGACATTCATACTCTCAGTCGTCTGTCTCCTTGCTATCGTCTAACCACGCTACTGCCGTTGATGTGTGCTCCACAATGTATGGCGAAACACACGCCAGTCCGGACGCGGTGGAACGGCTATACGAATCCAGTGCCAGTGAGTCCTTGAATTTCGGCGTCCTATTCTATGACTCAAGTCTGGCGATTAGTGTAAGTTCCCTTCTGCTACTCAATCGGCACCGGTCCAACCCACAAAGATACGAGAACCCCGTTCTGACAGCGACCTCGCGTTCTGTGATCACCGACATTCACCAACTTTCTCGTCACCTCAGCGTCATCGACGTGCCTAGGCCCATTGCTCTTCTTTGCACCTTGTTCCGGTTACAACCTCCGAGAACAGGCTTTTTGGCACGGCATCTGGACGAGCCGTTGTTCGAGGCGTTACGAGTGTGGACCGAGATTGGAGATATCTCAGAGACAGAAAGCTTCGGTCTGTTCCTCCTTCTGAGTCCTATCTCACTGTATTGACGTCTCGCTGCCCTTCAGATGGGCATCGGAAGACAATAGTAGAGCACACTCTGAACGTGCTAATCCTGCCAGGAATCCACCGTGATGGCCAACACCGAATACAGGCTCCATCAGAATCTCTCATACTAACGCCGGGGCCCTCATCGCATTCGCTTCCTACCTCGCATCCCGCTGCACCTGGTTTGGGTATACCAGGGACATCCCTGACCATTCCCTCGCCCTTGCACTTTCAACTACACATCATCACGCGGCTTTCGTTCAATGAACAAGGCCGGATAACACATCATCGGGACTTTTGGGACATCAAGGATGTGATGGGACTAGTTCCCGGCGTGTCACTAGCTCAATGGATCGGGACTAGGCTCGCTGCGAGAGGGCTGACGTATGCAGCATCGTTTTTGTACCGACCTCTTGGAATTGGAGCGCCTGATGAGACAGCGTCCGCGAAGCAGCCTTTGTCTGAACAGGATGCGATGGAGCTCGGGATGGTAACTGATACGAATGTCAAGTAATTCAGCTTGAATATATGCGCTCTACAACGGATGCCCAGAGAGGAGGATCGATATGCAAGTAAGTAACACAAGGTAAGTACAAAGAAACGGTGCACATTATTTTGGATTGTTCAGATACATGATCACGCCGGTTGAGTGTAACTCCCTACCGAAGGTGGATTAGCCGTGCATCACAAGACACCGAAGGGGAAAGCTCACAAATTCTAGCGAGTTTATCTCCACTACCTGTCGCAAACATATTAGCGGTTGGGTGCAAACTAGTGGAGATGACTGGAAGAGCGTGAGTCTCATGATCAACTTGGTATCGATCTCACACACCAGAGTTCTTGTGGCCCTGCAAGACTGCCTCGACAACTCCATGCGTATTCCAAAAATGGACTCCACGGTCCTTGGATCCCGAAACAATCCATTGCGAGTCTCTTGAAAGGTGGACAGAGAGCACGTAGTCCTTGTGTCCGTTGAAAATAGTGCATGGTATGCCTTCCTTCTTCGACTTGGCTCGCAGATCCCAACAACGAATTGAGTTGTCCAAGGCGCCGCTCACGAGGCCTCCGCCGTCTTTAGTGAACACAACACTGTGGACGCTGCTGCTATGTCCGCGGAGAATGTCCACGAGATTGCCCGAGGTCACGCTCCAGATGCGCACAAGCGAGTCGACACATCCGGCAGCGATCATCTGCCCATCTGGCGAGAACGCGACAGCCATCACACCGCCTTCGTCCTCGATAGCGTCAAGCTCGGGGCTTGCGGTCAGAACACGTTCAATATCATATGTGTCCATGCTCCAGATCCGGACTGTCCCGTCGCCTGACCCGGAGGCAAGTCGTCGCCCATCAGGAGAGAAGTGCAGCGAATAGATATCTTGACGATGGCCCTCGAAAACCGCGCGGACGGTTCGCTTGTCAACTTCCCAGATCTATACAGGAACTCAGCTCAAGTAGCACACATGTCTAACAGAAGACGCACTCGAATCCGCTCATCTTCTGCGCCCGTCGCCAAGAACCGGCCATCTGGACTGAACCGCACGCTTCGGATGTAAAGATCCCCAGTTTCGCTGGCAGTCTCATCTGCCAGCGTACTGGTTCGACGATTGACGTGAGAACGCGACAAGAAGTAAGTGTCACCAGACATACCATATCCGATGCCCTGTCAACACGCTAAAAATCTGTGCGGTTCTGTTGCACCCTGTGGCCAGAAATTTGCCGTCATGAGAGAAGTGAATACAGCAAACAACACTGGTTTCGAGGGTGAGATATACTCCAAGGGAAGTGGAGAGAATTACGCACGTTTCGTGAACAAATGTATGGATAAGGTTCACATCTAGCACCCGCTTCACCTTCGGATTGTAGATGGTGAACCAGTCACTTCCTTCCTTCTTGAACTCCGGATGCACCGAGATCGGCTCTAAATTATCGAGGAATTCATTCATAACCTGCGCCGAGGGTTGAGGGGGCAGAGGTGGTGGCAGTGGCAGTGAAGCAGGCGTGGGTGCGCGGCGGGAGGACGGACTCGAGCCAGGTCCTATCAGAGGCAGTCGACTCGCCTCTGCCACAAGCCGCGGTGTAAGATCCTAGCGACGATACAATTTGACAGAAGCTAACGCACCGGGCTGATCAAGCTTCATTCGTTTGCTGTTTCCTTGATCGAGGAATCGAGCCCGCTGGCTGTCTCTTTCCCTGTCTCTTTCTCGGTCGCGTCTCTCCGAGTGGGGATCCATTACGGGAGACTGAGCGGCGGAACCGCCCAGGAAGACACTGGGCGAGTTTATCGGTGCTGTGACGGCGGAGGATGGGCGCGCCTGGCGAGCGTTGTGCGTCTCGGACCGAAGCATCCGTAATTCGTATTCGTACTGTTGTCGGACCTTATTGTGCTGGGCCTCGAGCTCATGCAATGCCTGCCGAATCTTTTCCAGCTCGTCGGCTTGAGCTGTGACTGCAGCGCGGTTTAGACGCGGATAAAGACGAAGAATAGGCTGGGACGCACTCGTGGCCTCGTATCGTTCCCGCTGCTCTCGCGACACGTTGACCTCGCCTGCGAGCACGTCAAACTCTTGCTTCACCCGATCCAACGTGTCAGAGAGTGCCCGAGAGTTGTAAACCGGAGCATCTGCTGGACCCAGGGCCCTGTGCTGTTACTTCCAGGTGAGTCGCCAGTCGTGTGGAGAGGAGAGGGGCGGTGTACCTGGTACATGGGATTGGATGACATGGGATGCGTGGCAGTGAGCGTACGCTCTGCAGTGCGGCGGACGGTGTGAGGAAGATGGTCGTCAGAAGCGGGGGCCTGGTTGTTGATGATCCTTCAAGCTGCTTGCTGGTTTAAACCAAAAACATTGCCGGCGGCAACTTAAACGGGAATAGATTTGATGTCCTAGACCGTGGGAACCGGATTTCGCGAGATCCTCTTGGGGAGACTTGTCCCGATACGGCTCCTTTAGGGAATGGGATTCCGTTGTTCTGGACCATGCTGTGCTCTATGATGAGCCGGAAGATCGGGATGTCATTGCGTTCCCCGCATCTGGCGTCACTAAACAAACTTTTCAGGTGCACCAAGATCAGCATTCGCATCCTGTATATCCGTCGACGTCAGCCCATGATGGTCTCCGCCCTCTGATGGAAGAGAACATATCGCACTCGCCTTCGACCGAATGATGGGTAAGCTCGGGCTGACCGTCGGAAGAACAGGTGGAACGGTATTTCTATTTTTCAGGCTCCTCAGCGAAGGCCCCGTCCTCGTAAATAAATGCAAATGAGGTTGTAAGTTAGGCCTCCCTCAAGCCTCCGAGTCCACACCGCTCATCCCTAGTGCTCAGTGGGGATAAGCGGGTGTAAGACGGGAATTCTCAATCGGGTGCTTTCCATGAGGCAAAGTGTATGACACTCACCAGTCAGACGAATGTAAACCTCACGTACTCGACTTTCGCGTAGATCATTCTCAGCCGCGCATCCAGGCCAAATTCGGGCGACACATGGCATAAGTGGCGGTGCGTGTCTGTTGCTGCTCTGACATCAGTGATGACATCAGGAAGATTCACGTGATTGATAAAGCCCTATCCCGAACATGGTCACGTGTTGAGGTTGGTGGTTTGTCGCGGCTCTTGTTTCTGACCTCTTCCTTACGCCCGTTACGCGCTCTTCACGCACTCGACGCTCCCTCAAGACACACCACACGAAATCACTACTATGATCCCACTCATCCCCGCTCTCGCTCTCGCTATCCTGTCCTTCCTATGCTCTGCCTTTATTATTCTACGTATAGTACTTCCCATTTTACCCCCTCACCCGTGCGTGGTCTTCTCGAGGTTCTTCTCTACCCATCCTGATCCGCGTATAGACTCAGCCGACGTGTTTCTCCGTCCGAATTCGGGCTTCCCAACTACAGGTCTTTGACTCCGTCCGACAAGAGGTAAGCTTGCTTTCTTCTTTTGACGTACACATGGTCACGCATTTTTTTCAGCCACCTCTGGTTGGCAATTCTGGACATCCTCGCTCTCGCTTTTTTCGTGTGGCAGACAGTCTCTGGTGCACCAACCAATGTGACGACCGCACTGGATCCCATGTCAACGTTCAGGCTGTGGTTAGCCATGACACTAAGGCAATCCTGCCTTCTCATTGTGGTCGGGCTCACACTGCTTCATGTGCGCATGGCTAAGCCCATTTCTTTCGGCGCAAAGCACTGGATGCTCTGGATGCCGACCACCGTGTTGGCTGGGACCTCCACGGGTATTGCTGTCGTTCTCTCTGGAGCGCAAGTCCCCAGCCTGTTCATCGGCGTCATGTCGTATTCCACCACCATCGCCTTGTCGACTACAGTTGCCTTCTGCTGTCTCGTCAAGACGCTCTTGGCCATCAAACGGAATCTGGCTGCCATCGACGAGGACGCGGAGCCCTGGCCACCTGTGAAGATGAGCGAGCCGGCACCCCGCCCCTCTTTCGCCACGGAAGAAGTTGATGCGCTCCGTGACGGTGCCTCTTGGATTACCTCGAACGCTTCGAACGCTAGCTCGCGGCACGATTCTGTGGGCGGATGGTCGTTCTCCACGCACGCTCCCTCCACTCACGGCGGACGCCACGGATCGATGAACCACCCCTCCGTGCCAGCCAAGTCTGGGTACTGGTTTAACTCGTCGACTCCATCCGATGTGCCTCCCGTTCCGCAGGTTCCATCGGAGTTCGGGCCGCTGTCGCCGACTGCTCAAGAGTTGGCTGAACCGGATCCTTTCCGCCGTGATGCGCCACTCGAAGGGCCCCACACTCCCCGGCCGCGATACGATTCGCAAACGTCCTGGCTGACATCGACGAATGGAACCCACACGGTCGTTTCTGCGTGGTCGTACCCTTCCTCGATTGGGCATCACTCTGATTCCCGCAACGTCAGCGCGATCAACTTGAATGACGAGCTGCTCCCGTCGCACACGGCTGTCTCACGGCCGACTACGCCTGCCATTGGCAATGTCCGTGTCTTGGGAGGATATGGTCTCCATGCTGATGCAGAGAAAAGTCTCGCGGCACTCGCTGCAGCTGCCCCCTCGGCTGAGGTTGATATTTCTGGATACCGCGCTATTGGTTGGTTGCTTTTAATTTGGACACCCGTTGTGAGTTTATTTCTGAAAAGAAGTTACGACTCTCTGACTTGTTCTCAGGTCCTGTCCCTGCCATATCTCATTCTTTCTCAACAGAACCCGACCCCACCAGCCTTCGTGTCAATCTTGCTGTCGCTCTCGGTTACGGTCTCTTCTCCGATCCTCGCTCTCAACCTGATTTTCCAATCGCCGATGCCTGCTCCCGAGGGTTTGTTCGACACCTCGAGCGACTTGCCAGCAAACATGACACGCAGCCCGCTTGCTGGCAGCGTTCCTCCCTACGGCAAATGGTCTCATGAATACAAGCGCAGCACGAGTGCCAGTGTCACGGTCGTCGAAGGTCGTCGAAGCGGTGATGTGTGGCTGGCCAAGGGAGATGCTGTGGATGGCCGAAACAAGGTTGGGCGAGCCTTTGGGATGATTTCCCCGATGCCCAAGTTGTCTGTCCTTCCCTTGGAGGAGAACCCGCAAGTTCGCGCCCCACCGACGCCAATCCCTGACGACGACTCGTCTCTGCCGGTTTCCATCCACAACAGCACGCAGTCCGAAATGAGCGCACAATTCGGTCGATTGCGCGAACATAGCTCGGCTGTGGACGAGAGCTCTGGCGGACAGATCATGGTTGCGCACCGTCACTTCTCAACTCTCGCACAGACTATGATGGTATCCAGCGGTGCTTCACCTGAAAAGCAGGAGACCCAGGGAACATCGACCGCAGTGCGCCAGTCGGCACATCTCCGCACGCGATCGACGTCTTCTGCTCAGCACGGTGATCGCAACACCAATATCAGCCCGCCACCTTCGTTCCCCTTGCCCCCGACGCCTCCGAGTGTCCGCGCCGCCCGTCTTGCCCATCTCAAGCACCGCAAGTCATTCTCATCTGGATACTCGTTCGGGCCTGTCGACGACATCAACGAGATCGACGTCATTTCGGCGGGGATGCTGCCACTGTTGGTTCCAGGCCTCAAAGTGGGAAGTAACATGAAGATCCGCGATACGCCACCTGCAAGCTTCAGCCGCGCTAAGGGCAAGCGGGCTTTCCAAGAATTTGGAGGTGACATCTCATCGCCGCAACTCCATTCGACGCCGGCTGGGTCGCAGAATGTCAGGTCGAAGAAGAGATCGATGCACGGCCGTCACCACTTCAGTCTCCCTAGCCTCGGGCTCGGCAAAGATGGAGTTCACCCTCTTGCTGATGAAATCGCCCAGGCTTTACAAAATCACGACGCACGTCGAATGACGGTCTTTGGTGGAGAGTCTGTTGACCATGTCCAAGTTCGGGCTGGAACACAGCTCACTCGTGCTCTTTCGTCTCGTCGACTCGGTCTGCAGTCCGATGTCCCGCATTCCGCACGCCAATCGTTGCAGTCGTTCAAGATGCCCAATTCTGCCGCTTCGACTGCGACGTTGTTCGAGGAGTTCGACGGCGAAGGCCCCCAGGCCGAAAGCACGCCTCACAACAACATAGCCAACAAGCCTGTCTCGAAACAACGGCCTCCTCCCCTGCCACTGCCGAACCGCCGTTCCAGCATCGTTTACATCACGTCTCCGGTGGAGGACCCAGCGACGAATCCGTCTGCGATGTCGTCGATTGCGCAGTGGTCCTCGCGCGTGATCGCCCGCCCGGCCAAGCTGCAGCGCAAGATTTCTGACGCTGTGCACAAGGCCAAGCAGAAACAGCAGCCGGGCTCGCCTGGATTGCGGCCGTTGGCTCTGCTGCAGGACCGGGACGTGAACTCGACGCCTCCGTTGTCGCTGCGGAAGAAAAACCACGGGAGCAGCCGCATGAAGGGCGAGAACGTCTCCCCAGAATACGTGGCGTCGTCTGCGGGCAGTCGCCGCAGTCTCAAGCCCCTGCAGCTGTCGCGGAAGGAGACTCGGGTGGACATGCGGTGATGTCCCCTTTTTGAATTTTCGTTTGCTTTTTTCCTGCTTTGATGATCGCTTTGCTCACATGTTATGCTCTTATCCCACTGCTTGACGCTACCATTGTTGTTCCAGTATATCCACTTGCTCGCTTTTTCGTTATCTTGCTATTGACCCATCACACTGCTCTCTGTACTGATTACTGCTCTCGATCTATGCTCAAAACTATGCTCTCTGTCGCTTATCTCTGTATTTACGCACGTACTTATCATTGCTAGGTCAAGATTCAAGTTCATCACTGCGAACGTTGTCTGTTCTCAACTCAGCTAAGATGCTTCATCCCAAGGCTATCAGAAGCTGTGCGAGTTCTCAGTCCAAATCCGCCACGTGATTCATGTGACGTGATCTCGTCGGTCACGCACAAGAACTCTACGACTAGAAACTGATGGAGCGTACACACTGACACACACTCGGAACCGATTTCTCTCCCACCTTCATCACTTGCATCATCTTTCCGCGCGTCGCCAGTCTCTGTCCACCCACACTCGCAGCTGGTCTACCATATCATGGACTTTGACGAGTCCTCCGACATCCTGGGCCGCAACACCAAGCTGCCCATGAGGGCCCCAGTCGCGGCGGCCTCGTCCTGGCCGGGCGTGTCGAAGATGGCATTCTATGTCGCGCTGCTGTTGATGGGCTATCTGGGTGTCATGCGTGTGTGGGCCCGGTTGGGACGATGGAGAGAAAAGTCACACCGTCTGTACGTGTCTACTTCCCTCCCAGCTCCTTATTCTCGGCTGAACAGCATGTTTGATTGCGTAGGGCGACACGCCGGCGGTTCGGCATTCCTGACCACGACCATCGGCCCTTCAACGTCGCGCATGCT